GCTCCTTAGTCCCCCACCCCCTTTTCTTTCTTTCTTCTATGCTCTTTCTCCATACCTCAGCACAGGGCTTGACTCATGTCAGAGACTGACACTAATTTGATTGACACTAATCAATATTCAATAAATATATGAGGCAGATGGAACAGCCAGCATGACAGGGCCTGTGAACAGCTGAGCTGCTTCAGCAGCAGATCCCCATCACCAAGCACCTGTACCCTGTGCTCTGCAAACAGCCTGTGCTCAGTGAGCGTCTTCTGGCCCTCTGAAACAGACCTCTCTGTAAAGGGACACAAATGCCCCCTGTCCAAGGGAGTGTCTCTTGGCCAGTCAGATGAAAGATACCTGTTCCATCAACACTAACAAGGTAGGCAGTTTCCTAAGTTCTAGAAGTGACCTCACCCTCCAAGGGCTCAGCCTCTTTACCCAGCACCCACTTATGCCCACATGCCTGTGACATGTTCTCTTTCCAGCACAGGGAGGCTCCTCAGGCAAGGGCTGCTGCAGGAGGGGATACCAGAGCCTCCACAGGGCTTCCTCCTAGCAGGGTGGAGGGAACCAAACTGCCCCCTCTCTGCAGCACCTCAAGACAGTAGAGATGACCAAGGGCTCCTTTGCTAAACATTCTTGAGATCTTCTACATCCTGCCCACAGCTCCTTAGCCATGCCCATGCCAAGAGAAAGTAGACTCTTTGTATCTGTGTGTGTTTTCCTAAGTGCCATCAGGTTGACAAGGTGACTCATCATCATGACTGTGATACTGCAAGAAATGTGGACAGGTTTTTTAAAGGGATTGATTAAAGATGACAGGAATTCTCAACACACATTAGGGAAGATGGAGGCAACTTCTACATACAACACAGGTGCCACTGAGGAAGCACTGTGGGAGCTGACAGAATGAGCTCCATGTTAAGAATTAAGAACAGTGTAGGAGATCTGCCATTCATAAATTGAATGTATCACTTAAGCTCCCTGGGCTTCATTCAGCTCCCCTATAAATTAAGGTGGTACTTGTACTACTTTTCAGGATCATTGTGATGGTCAGAGTTTATGATGCTGCCTCCAGTGACAACAAGGTGTACTTACTTGACATTATCATTATCATAATTATTTGCAATGCTGGGGCTCAAACCCAAGGCTTCCCATATACTATGCAAGGGCTCTGCCACTGAGCTAGCCATACCCCATGCTATTAACATGTCCACAAACCTATCTGTTATGTGCGGAGCATGTGTCACATGTACTTTTATGTACTCGATCCCCCAGCAACTCTGAGTTTACACTGCCTTTCAGTTCTCATGGATGAGGAATCTGAGGCTTATGCCTAGAGTTAGGCAGCTAGTGTGCGTCAGAGTGTATGTTTCAACCCAAGTGGATTCGCAGTCTCCATTGTTACACTGACTCATGATTCTTTTCTCCTAACACTGTTGCTTTGTCTCTTCAAACATTACCTATTAGCTAGGCCTGGTGACATGTCTGCAATCTCAGCACTCAGTAGGCTGAGGCAGGAAGGTCACTAATGCAAGCCCAGCCTGAGCAACAGAGCAAGAGCCTGTCTCAAAATCAAGACCAAAAAATTACATATTCCTCTGGCTTTTACCGTATGTCATGGACTGGGCCTGCCCTCTTACCCAAACCCTTCTTTTGTTGTTTTTCTTACCTGAACCTTCTTTGCTACAACCTTTTTCTGACTTTTTCTCCCTGACTTGGCATCAATTCTGATACTCCTCTTGTCCCTGCTGCCAGCTCTGCTGCCCTGACCTCTAAGCACAGTGTGTGCCAACACCCTTTTATGGGCAGGCACCCTACTCATGTTACATGAGAGTGGTCACTCTGTTCCCAGGCCTCCAGGCTCTGAGACACATCTGTGAGGAAGCTAGGTGGATAGAGAGGAGGAGGTCACCTTCTCTTCTGACATCACTAAATATGTCAGGCAGACCCTTTGGGACAACAGTGAGGCTGTGGCTCTTAATCTTCTCAGGTGAGCATGGGGAAGCACAGAAGGAAAGCTCAGCATCATACAGGGAACCTTGTTCAGTCTCTGTTCCTTTGAAATGAGAGCAGAGACTAGGACTCCTGTCAGTTTCAAGGAGTTGTTGCTTCGACCTTAGACACAGAAAAAGTCTTTAAGGCACTTTCCCAACATTACTGAGTAGGCATAGATCTGCAAGCTTAGTTTCTGTTCTTAGCCGGGTGTCCTTGAGGACACACTCCTGGAAACTGTTGCTAACATTGGCGTGTTAGCTGTGGCCTTGGCCCCTGCCAGTGTACAACTAGTTCATCTTAGGCACTTGAAGGATCAGTGACACTTAGTACCCCACCCCCAGTTCCCAGTGCCTGGCTTCCCAGACCTCCACCCTGACCCTACCCAATGCAGGGCAGCTCCCCGTGCTAAGGTCCCACCTGATAAGCTGATCCCAAGCACCATACTGTCACTGCAGACTTCTTCCTGGGGAGGCGCATTTGTAGATGCTGTCCACTCTTCCCCTGCCAGGAATCTACCTCACAATTAGGTGAGAAATAAATCAAAGCCAAAGTTGCCTGATGAAATTCAGGAGCCAGTGGTGACCCTTGCCACACATATAAATCCCAGCGGGCTGTCCAAGGGCCTTTGTCTGGTCAGGGAGTTCAGGATTATCGAGCCCACTTTGCTGATGTATGGAGGCACCGGCTGTCGGAGTGTTTACTAATGGTTATCACCTCACTGCTGTGGGCGTTATCACAGGCAGGGCCGCCCGCCGGGGCCGGGACTCGCACCCTCTCTATTACCACCTGTCAGTGGCAGCGAGTGTGCACTGACACTGCCCAGTCCTGCCCGCCAAGGGAAGATAGTTTCTGACGGCTGATCAAAGAGGAGAGGCAAGGTCTGATAAAGAGTGTGTGTTTCATGTACTTTTAACTTTGGGGAAACATCGGCATTTGCATTTTTTCCTCATCTTCCTGATGCTAGCAAGAACCAAGCCCAATAAATGTAGTGGGTTCAGTTACCTAATCGCCAGGGAAATGGTATGTGCTTAAAGCAACAGAGCATGACCATAATTTCCTTCCAAGAGAGACTGGATGAAATAAGCTTTCACAGTAGACTTGCTGTAGAATAAAGTCGAATCATTTAAATTTGGACTTTGAAGTGATCTCGCACATAGCATCTAATCTTGGCATTCAGCAGAACGCCATGTTCTTTCTGGAACTCAGGAACAGCTTTGGATTAAGGAAGGATCCTTGTTGAAGATGCTATCATCCAGCTATATCACTCATATCCCTGAAACGGTACCATGGACATGTCTGTGTTTCTGGGAGCCGATCTGCAGTGGGGTAGAACAAGTTCCAGACTGAGGCGTCAGCACATCTGAGACCTGGCACCAAGTCTGCCACAAGCCTGCTGTTTATTCTAAGGCCATGACCTCTCTAAGCTTCAACTGTAAATGAGGTTGGGTTCAGGTTATAGGATATAATGGTTTAGAAAGCTTTTTTGCCTATGTAGCCTCTTCTCTTTTTTTCATCTTTTTGTGGTATGTGTGTGTGTGTGTGCATGTACGTGTGTACAGTACAGCATGTATGTGGAGCTTAGAAGACAGCCTTAGGTATTGTTCCTCTCCTCCACCTTGTTTGAGACAGGGTCTCAATGTTGTTCACCACTGCATACTCCAGGCTAGTGATTCATTGAGTGTCTAGGGATCCTGCTGCCTCTGCTTCCCATCTCACCATAGAAGCACTGGGCATGCAGACACTTGTGCTATTACATTTGGTTGTACGTGGGTCCTGGGGATCCACACTCAGGTCCCGTGAGCGCTTTACTCAGTGAGCCATCTCCCCAACCCTTTTCTTTCTTTCTTTCTTTCTTTCTTTCTTTCTTTCTTTCTTTCTTTCTTTCTTTCTTTCTTTCTTTCTTTTTTTTGAGACAAGGTCTCTCTATAGCCCCAGTTGGCCTGGAACTTGCTATGTAGACCAGGCTGACCTTGAACTCACAGAGATCCACCTGCCTCTGCCTCCCGAGTGCTGGGATCAAAGGCACGCATCACCTGATTTTTTTTTTTTTTTTTTGAGACAGGGTTTCCCTGTAGCTCCAGCAGGCCTGGAACTCATGGTATAGACCAAGCTGGTCTTGATCTCACAGAGATCCTCCTGCCTCTACCCTTTTCTTATTTTAGACAGTGTCTCATGTATCACAGGCTGACCTCAAACTCACTGTGTAACTGAGAATGACCTTGAACTTCTGATATTTTGACTCTACCTGCCAGGTGCTGAGATTACAGGCATGAACCACCACCAGTTTTTTTATTTGGTGCTGGGGATTGAACCCAGGATCTTATATATGCTAGTAAAGCATTCTACCAACTGAGTTACATCCCTAGCCTGTCATTCTGAAATTTTAGGCAGAGAGCAATTAATTGTGTAGATTAGGGGAAAGCAGAGATGTTTGAGTTGAACCTGGAAAAGCATTCCTTTCCCTTGAAACAGTCCATGAGGAGCAGAGGAGCCCCATTACCCTTCAGAAACAGTTTTAATACCTTGCAACTCAGTGATAATGCAGTCATTCCTGGTCGTGTACTTTCTCATCCAGTGGAATGAGTTCTTTTACTCTGCATCACACATTCCTATTCCAGAGTGTTCCACCCTTCAAACAGCTGATCAATAACTAAAATGGGGGACTGGACAGGTGGTTCAGTGGTTAAGAGTACTGTCTGTTCTTGCAGAGGACCCGGATTCAGGTCCCAGTACCCACATGGCGGCTAACAACTATAGTCTGAAACTACAGTTCCAGGGGACCTGATGCCCTTTTCTGACCTCTGAGGGCATTGCATGACACGGGTATACTTACATGCATGCAGGCAATGTACTCATACATATAAAATTAAAATAATAAATATTTTTTTTAAAAAAAGGACTGAAATGGTCCTGGGCATGGTGGGCCAGGTGGTAGGCCAGGGCATGGGTGGTGGGTAGACAGAGAAGCCTGTCCTCTGAAAGCATGAGCTCAACAGCTTATGTCCCACATGTCATAGGTACCTTTGACCGGAGTGTGACTCTGCTGGAGGTGTGCGGGAGCTGGCCCGAGGGCTTCGGGCTACGACACATGTCCTCCATAGAACACACAGAGGAGGGCCTCCGGGAACGGCTTGCAGATGCCATGGCTGAGTCGCCAAGCCGAGACGTCGTGGGATCCGGAACAGGTAAAGGTATCATCAGACTGCTAGCCTGACTTGGTTATGACTGGCACCTGATGGTGTACTGCTTCTTTGGATGGGAGAGGGCATGTGTTCATTTTTACCATCTGTTTCTATGGTTAGCACTCTGAGTGGCATCCATTGTAGAAGCCTCTGCTATTGGGAAAACCTGTGTAAAGGAGGGTTCCCAGCAGAACCACCCCCCACCTACCTGGAGTAACATATAAAAATACCTTGAGAAACAGTTGTAAGCCTGGGGCTGTAGCTTAGTGGTAGAGTGCTTGCCTGGTATGCATGAGGCCCTGGGTTCAATCCCTAGCACTGAGAGAGAATTGTAAGTCACACCTCCAGGGGAAGGAATAGCTAAGTAGTACACCTCTCCCTTGATGCCCCAGATTCTGTAGATGAGGACCTTCCAACCTGAAAGCACGCAAGCAGAGCTGGCTCAATGCCCAGATAGCTTTTCCTCATGTACTTTTCACCCCGTGCTGGTACCTCTAAAAGTCCAGTGACTGAGCCCAAAGCAGCTTCCTGCATGCATAGGGTAATATAAGACACAAGTAGTAAGCCCTCCCCGAGGCAAGTTTGTGTCCACACACACCACAACCATTCCATCTCCACTCAGCTATAATAGAGGCTGCCTCTGCCTCTTCTCTTTCTAAAACATCTCTCCCTCTCCCTCTCCCTCTCCCTCTATCCCTCTATCCCTCCCTCTCTCCACTGTTACTAATGCTCTAGCCCTGCATTCAAACAGATCCTGACTGAAGACTTTCCCTCTCTTGCTCTCCTTAGCCCTCTGAGACTATCAGGCTCTGCTGTGATCTGCTCCATCCCTGCCCCAGTGCTACCTGGGAAGAGGATCCCAGTAAGGAGCAGCTTAAAACCCCAGGGCAGAACATTTTTGGCTGGGTATAAAGTACCTGACACTGTCACTCCATCTCACTGTTCAGTGGGTTCTGTGGGCCTTCAGTGGTTGGGTTCAGCAGTGAGGCGCCCCTCTTTCCTTCTCCATCCCTAGGCTAGCTCTTCTTCTCCTCTACTAAGAGGACAGAGGTGTTTCACCTCTATAGCTTGGTGGCTCCTGCCTGGAAAGTCATTGGCACCTGATGGAGTGCAGTGAATGGATGTAAGGGCAGAGGAGAGGAGCTGGGTTAGAGATGGAGATGCAACTATCAGTGTCTAGAAGGGAGCTATCTCTGAGGACTGGCCCCTTCTAGCCCTCCATCTTCCCTGGAAGAAAAATAGACCTTCAAAGCTGCCACAAGCTGTGCCCCTGCTTTACTCACACACACATGTGCAAACCATCCCATCCTCACACCCCAAATGCATGACGAAGCCATCCCAAGACCTCTGTTCTCTCATCTGTATCCCAGAGAGAAGCAACTCTGCCCTTTCCCAGGCTTCTGCCCAGGTTCCTTGAAAGCTGACCCAAATGAACCATGGTCATAGACCAGCCTTGCCCTATATATCAGGGCCTCTAGCCAGCCATGGTGCCCATGAACCAGAGCCTATGTCTCTGAGCTCACCCAGGAACCTCCTCGTTCTTCCAGGACTGGGAACTGCATCTGCTGCATCTACCCCCGCCTTCTTCAAAACCCCGTGGCCATCTTAGCTGGCAGGCAGCAGGCATGTAGGTCAGCAGGCATGTTCAGTTAGTGGAGCGTCAGCCTGGCAAAGTAACCTGAGCAAGGCTGGCAGTGATTCATCTGCCAGACAGCTGAGGGACTCAGGAGCGTCCATGGCCTTAAGCAGGTTTGTGAAATTAAAAGGAATTTTTTAAAAAAGAAAGAAAAGGAAGAAAGAAGAAATTAAAATTGTATGACCTATAGGTTAGAAAATAGGCAATTCCCTTTGTTCGAAAAGGGAATTCCATTTTCTTCCCCAAACTGCCACCAAAATGGAGTCCATTGACTATAGAGACACACACGTGTACACACACACGTGTGTGTGTGTGTATGTGCATATATATATATATATATATATATATATATGCGCCTCCATTTTTCAGATCAGTAAGTGAATTAGATAGAAATTAACCAGTTCCTTCTTTGTGGCTGAGATGAACTATCCATATTTTCCAGCTAAAGTGTCTGCCTGGTAGTGCAGCCCAGCTTACCCAAGCCAAAGACAGTCCTGGCCAAGGATAGCCAGGAAAATACAGTGCCGCTAGGTGAGAATTTCCAGCAAGCCACTGTCCATAACACCTCTGCTCCTCTCTTTCCATCTTTCCATTCCAACTCTACTTCTCTCGGTGACTTGCAGGCACACAAAAAGGGTGTGTGCCTCTGTTGGGTGCTCAAATGCACCAGAGATAAGCCAGTTCTGTCAGAGCTTCCCTACAGGCATCTTCATGCTGATGTCTCTTTACCAACATTTGGCTGAGGCCATCTCAAAATTTGCTCTCTGGACGCCTGACTCAGAAGCCCGTTGTGTATCATGGCTCGCTGTTCATGACAGGTTAGCTAGTGCTGTGTTGGTAAATGTGTAACAACCAGCTCTCCAAAGGGAAGCAAAAAACAACAAAAACAAAACAAAAACCCTGATTCGTGTATTTCAGTAGTGTTAAAATTTCTGTTATTATCAATAGCAATAGTATGTCAAACAACTCATCCAGTGCTTAAAAGCACTCAGTCAGCTGGCTTCATGCCTAACTAACAGCCTCTACCATAGGCTAAAGAGCTCTCCACAGAAGTAAAGGAAAACCTTGAAAACCCCTGCTGTCCAGAACAGGGAAGTAGAGAGAGCTGCTGACCCAAGGACACAAATTTCTGGTTAGATAGGATGAGTAAGTTTGAGACCTATTGTTCCACGTGTTGACTATAGTAAATAACAGTGTGCTGGGCTCTTGAAAATGACTAAGCAGAGAGATGTTAAACGTCTTCACTACAAAAAGGTAAGTATGTGAAGTATCGCATGTGTTAACTAAATTTTGAGCCATTCCACAATATATGTGTGTTTCAAAACATCATGTTGTACATAATGAGAATATACAACCTTGATTTATTTATTAAAAAGAGATTAATTTTTTAAAAGTGGTCTACAGGCCAGCAGGAGCATCTTTCCCTGGGGCCTGATTAGACATAAGAAGTTGTTTGGGAATGTAGCCTGTGCAAGGCCATGGGTTTGATCTCAGGGTCAAAAAAGAAAGAAGGGAAGAATACAGTCTTGGGCCCCATCCAGCCCTGGTCTATTAGCATCAGCCATCAGCACTTGCCTTTTTTTCTTCCAGTGCTGGGGATTGAACCTAGGGCCTCATACATGCTAGTCAAGCACTTTCCCACTGGGCTATACCCCAGCCCAACATCTACATTTTAACATGCTTATTAAAGTTTGAGAAGATCTACTTAGAACCTGATCAATCTTTAAGGCAGATGTTAGTTCAGCCCTCTATGGTCGCTGCTGAGCAATTAGTCTGATTAGCTTACATACATGATTTACAAGTTCAGCTCTGACATAACTAGTCAAATGCTTTGTTGCTGATAGCCCAACACCTCTCATACCTATTACCCTTCTTTCTGGGCCTCCACAAATAAGTGGTCACCTGCCACTGTGCCCTGCTGTGACGTTCCTGTGTTCTCTTCCATGCTCAGTTGGTACTGTTTTTTGCAGCAGAAACCAGTGCCTGGAACGGAGTTCCAGACAGCAGTAACTGTCTACTTACTGAGGTCTATACCTACCTGTGTGCCAACTGTTTACTATGGTCTACAGCTACCTAGGTGTCCACTGTTTACTAAGGTCTACATCCACCTGGGTGCCAACTGTTTACCTACTAAAGTCTACACCCACTTAGGTGCCTACTGTGTACTGATTAAGGTCTACATCTACCTGGATGCCAGCAGTTCACAGGCCCTGCCTATTGATGGGGCTTCTGGCCTATTTCCATTCTTGCAAAGATTCCCAAATCTCTGATCCTAATGCTGTTTTTTTAGTATAGTATGTACTCAATCTTCCTCTTGAAGTTAGTCCCTTTCCTTCTACACCATCACTGTTTCAAACTTCCCCATTCTCCTCAAATCTCTTACCACACTTCAGATCTCACACCGTCAGAGAGAAATGACTATCATTTGAGAAACTTCCCATCTTCCTGCCACCCATATCCTAATCATCCCTCTTTAAAATGGCCTTGTCCCCAGCCCACCCAGCCACCACTGTTCTCCTCATTGTTGGACATGTGGGTGTCTCCACCCTGGGCCTGTGAGTCCACCCTGGGCCTGTGAGTCTGCCCTGGTCCTGTGCGCCCGCCCTGGGGCTGGTTCCACCTCCTCCTCCTGGTTCTTCTTCCTGTGGCTATTCTTCAGTCCCTCTTCTGGCTTTTCCTTCTCTTCATCTTTAAGTGTGTTTCTCAAGGCCCTTCACTTCTCCCCTAGAACATGGCAATCTCTGTGCCCATGGCTTCAGTCATCTCTAAACTGATGACTTCCAAATAGTTTTCAAACTGGCTTCTCTTCTAATTTCCAGAACAATCTATCCAGTCTCCTACTGATAAATCCAGACTTCTAAGAGCTGAACTACTCTGCCTTAACCTTTCTATCTCTCAGGCTCACTTCATCAACATACATACAAAACCATTCCTGACCAGGCCATCCTTTCTCCAGACCCATCCCTGTTGTTTAATGAGCTCCAGTCAAGCTAAGTCCCAGACCCTGAGCACATGCCAGACTCTCTGTGCATACTCTTCTTCTGCCTGGAATGCTGTCTCCTTAAGTCCCCTCCCCTCTCTGCCATCCCCCTCAAAATAACTTGACTAATTCCTGCTTAGCAGACATTCCTTTCAATATTGCCTTTTCTAGAAAAATAGCATTTTTAAATAAATAAAACATCAACTTATCCCATTTTTTGTGTCTAGATAAAGATATAAATACCCCCCCAAAAAGGGGGATTTAAAATAAACACCTGTGTATACATCGAGTACATTTTCTCTTTAAACTTTATCTCTTCCAATCACCAAAGTTCTCTTTCTTACTTGTCTTCTCCAGCATCACATATCAAAATGCACAGACTTCAATGATCCAGTTAAAGTATTGTGGACATATGTCTGCTGCAAGCAGCCTCTTTTTGGCTGCTGTTGACTCTTGAGACCTCACAAGTTCAGCTCTCAAAGTCAAGAGGGACTGTCTTTTCCCCATGATGCTGCTTCCCCAGTCCTGGACTCCCTGTTTTACTCTCCTTTTCTGTCCTGTGGTATTATCAGTTGGAGAGGCTCCATCATGTTCTGTCTACCTTCTTCTTGCTGTCTCTGTTCTAATCCAGAAATGCTTTAATCTTTACCTCTCACATTCTGTCATAAATTTTACTTCCTGACCCAGTTTACCAAATACTCAGACCATTACAACACAGTATCACAGACAATACATGCTAGTACTTTTCTAGTTTAAGTTTTTAGAGTGTCACAGAACACTAATTTGATTTCATTGTACTTTGATGAATTATGACTTGCAATTTGAAAACCAGGTTGTAGCTTATTCTGCTAAATCCTCTGGCTTTCCCTGTCTGTATATTAATTACTCAGCATCCAAGGCTTTACGATTATTTTCAATCAACTTTTATTTACTTAAAGGGCTGCGCTTTTTTCCTTCTTACAAGAAAAGCATTTATTTTGAACATTACATAGAGGTTTTTAAATGGTTTTAAGAAGTTTCAGTAAGTTAATTAACAAATATCCGTAGATTTCCTATGCTTTGCGGAAGATGATTTAGAAGCAGCTTGTGCATGTAGAAGTACACACATGATAACACCCTTCATTTGGGGGCTGTAGAAAGTAAAGTCTCAAGAAATGGGAACTTTTGTGATAAGTTGGTTAAATGTGTATCCTAATGCAAATAACTCAGACTCAGTGTGTTGGGCCCCCATCCTACCTTGAAGATTAGTAATTCCAGAAGACCATGGACCTCTGACTTGTTCCACTGCTGAGGGCTAGGGACATTTCCTTCATTTCTGTTAAGGGACAAATTAGCCCTATCACATCACAAGGTACCACACAGGTCACAGCAGTTACAGGTAAAGGGCAGTTCATTTTCTGACCCTTCAGATGCTCCAACTTGCTGCTTACACCCATATTCAAAGGAGATAATCAAAGCATTGGTGTTCTTTATAAAAATTAGTTGATCACATTGGACTTTGAAGACATTTCAGAAGATATGGCATTTGTGCCAAATATGATGGCACGTGCCTAAAAATCCCCAGAACTCAGGAGGTGCAGACAGAAAGATCAAGAATTCAAGGTCATCATTAGTTGCAAAGTGAATTCAAGGCAAGCCTGGACTACATGAGATCTTGTCAGAAAAAAAAAAAGATGTGGAATTGTTAATTTTCTCCGTAGCACAAATGAAAAAGCTACAACTCAGCAGATAAAATTGTGCCCTGGTGAACTCTTCCCTTACCAGCCGTGGCTATAGGAGCCAGCAGTGTGTTGGGTGGATCCCACACACTCCCTTTCCAGAGCTGAGGTTTTCATTTTTACTCTTCTCTTTGTTTCTTCTTCTTTTTAAGGAAAAAATGTGAATTTTGGCTTATAGTTTCAGAAATTTCAATCTGTGATCACATGACTCAATTGTTTCTGGACCGTGGTAAAGCAGATCATCATGGTAGGGATCATGTGCTAGAAGAAAGCTGCTCACCTTGTGGCAGACAGGAAGCAAAGAGAACCAACACTGGTCCTGGGGAAATGATTCCTTGGAAAATGCCATCATCATCCAGGGAATTCTCTATGCACCTGGAGCTCTCTGCTTCACCTAAATGAGCCCTGGATTTTTCCTCCTATAGTATTTACAAAAATGCTTTCAGTCTCATCTCTTGATGGCCTCCTCGGCAGCCCCATGCGCTTTCTGTATGGTTGCAGTAGGCAGGCAAACTCTTGAAGCATCTACCACATCTGTCACCAGTCTGGGAGAGAATAGGTAAGCCACAGTTCCTACCCTGGAAGAGACAAAAAGCCCAGGGGAGGCAATAGCATTGAGCCACAGTCTGTCCTCTAACTCCCATCCCTAGTTTTCCACCAGGACCCATTAATAAGCTGGACTAAGTAGAGCTCAGAATCATTTCCTTGCTCATAGGGTGTGGTCTTTCTAGAATGCTATATACATTAATTACTTTTCTCAATGCTGTGACAAAATACTTGACAGAAGCAACTTATGGCAAGAAAGATTTATTTGGGAAAGCCTGGCAGCAGATCCTGAGGCAGCTGGCCACATTGCATCTACAGTCAGGAAGTAGAGGGGGTGAGCACTGGCACTCAGCTAGCTTTCTCCTTTTTATTCAGTCTGGGACCCCAGACCATGGGAAGATGCCACCCATATTCACGGTAGGTCTTTCTTCTCAGTTAAACCTGCCCAGAAATGCCCTGACAGGCATGTCCTTCATAAAATTAAACATCACACTATATTAGTTAGCTTTCTCATTACTCTGAGAAATACATGAGAATAACTTAAAAAGATGTATTTTGGGCTTATGATTTCAGAGGGTCAATCCGTGGCTGCTTGGGTGGAACATCTTGGTGGCCAGAGTCTGTGGTAGAGAAGCTTTTTTACCTCATGACAGACAGGAAGCAGAGTGAATCAACCTCCTCCTGGTAGCTCCCCCCCCCCCAAAAAAAAACAGCATCATCAGCTGGGGTCCAAGTATCCAATACATAAGCCTTTGGGGGACATCTCCTATGCAAGCCACAGCAGATACAGTAACAAAGCTGTGGACTTCCCAGCTACAGATGTCCTGATTATTGCTAAGCATAGGAGAAGAGAATAACTCCCAGAGGCCAGGGCCACCATATAGAACCCCACTCCCACCAATGTATCACAAGCAACCCTGCACAGCAGGGGACATTGCAGCTACTGCTGGAGGGACTGCGGGACTGTGGGTGGCTGCAGCAGGGGTGGCCTGTGGGTCTTACTGTCTATCTCAGCTCAGTGTCCTTGCACCTGTTTCTAGCTGTTTTCCCCAGGGAGCAAAGGCCAAGTTTGAGAGTCTCTTCAGTTCCCAATGCCAACTTGTCACTGGGAAGAATGTCTGTTTCCTTTCTGGTAGGATTTGGAAGTTGTCTTCAAGAAATTGGAGAAGCTTGTAGCCCCAGGTCTTTCCCTCTCTGGGTTCGGTTTTCTCATCTCTTAGTGGGAGAGTGAAACAGGAAATGGGGGGCACTCACCTTCCACCCTGGTACTACCCTCAGCACCGTGCATCACTCCATCATTCAAAACAAGGGCAATGGGCTAAGAGGCTCCTGTGCTGGAGACTCCATCCACCACACAAACACCTCTCATCATCATGACACCGATGTTCCCTCTTCAGCTTCCAAAGTGGGAGATGAAAACCTTGAAGTGAAATCATAAAAGTAAAAAAGAAGATATAGAATCAAAATAAGGCACTAGGGGACTGGGGCCATAGCTCAGTGGTAGAGTGCTGCCATGCACAAAGCCTGGGTTTCATCCCCAGAATCACCAAAAAATATAACTTCCAAAGTAAGAGTGTCCATATCTGGCATCTTTTCAGTCTCACCTCATCAGACTGTGACCCATTTTTTACTCAAAAAAGGGGGCCCAATAGAGGAGGGGTCCCCACTCTCGGGTTGAGGTCACTTCTCTACTTAGAAAGTAGCAGCTGCCTGTACATTTCTACCCAGGCTCCTTGCCATGATTTTTCAAGTGTCTTATAGGTCTTCCCCTCCTCCCTCTCCCACCTGACCATCCGTCCCCTTCCACTTACCCCTTCAGATTCTCCCACCACTGCCTCGGCAAGCATGTGTGTCCACTTCCCCAGCACGCACTGGCTCCCCAGCTTGACGTGACCATCGCCCCTCCTCCTCTCCCCAGTCATCCCTTTAGACCAAGCTCACTGTCTCCTCCTCTGACCCACCTTCCCTGCCAACTCTGTGTCTCTAAATGTCTATACCACCTGCTCTCAGGACACTTGGTCGTGGGTAAGGAATGTTTGTTGCCTTTCTCATTAACTAGCAATGCCTGGTGCCCTTCAACAAGCCACTTAGGGAGGGGCCAGCTCCATGATTCCTTCAGCTCCTCCCTCACCCATAGTGCCTTTCTCATTAACTAGCAATGCCTGGTGCCCTTAGGGAGGGGCCAGCTCCATGATTCCTTCAGCTCCTCCCTCACCCATAGTGCCATGAGTGCATCTTGACCCAATTTTGGTTCTCTGGGCCCAGTCTGATTTGTCTTTGTTACCTTTAACTACCAACCTTCTCCTTACCCAGAATCCAGCCCTGGGATGAGCGCCAAGCTGAGCCTCAGTTAATGTTTGTTGAATGACTGATTGGGTTTGTGTGTCTTCTGAGAGCTAAATGAAAGACAGCCAAAGCCATGGGAATAATTATCATGCTTAAAAGGCACACTTGTTAGTTCCACGACAGATCTCAGATCTGATTCCAGCTAGGTTGTTTTTTCTCTCTGCCTCTCTCTTCTTCCCCCGCTGGAGCCCCAGCCAGAGGAGGAGCCGCAGTGGGAGTCCAGGACTGAGATGTTCCTCTGCACATTTCCTAGTTGCCCAAAGTATGGCATGCTGACTCTTGCCCCATGAGGAGGAAGAGCCAGTTTCACCTCCTTGGTAACCTTTCAGAGTCCCCTTTCCACATGTTTCCCCAAGAAGAGTGACTGTGGAGCATGTGCGGGCTTGGGCAGAGGGTGAGGGCTGTGGGCAGTTGCTAGGGGCCTTCCCTGAATCATTAGTACTGGTAAATGCTTAACCAAAGGGCAGATTCTTCTCAGTGCCTCCCTTCACCTTTAATCACTGGCCCCTCTGTGAAGTAGAGCACAGTCCCGGGCGGACAGGGGAGCGGGGGTGGTGTTAGATCCCTACCTTCCCTTCTGCTGCAGTGTCTCAGATGGTGGGAGGTCATATGCTGGCAGTAAAGGCTGGGAAGAGAGGGAAAAAGGCATGTACACAAAAAAGAAAGGTTAGAAATGACCCTCTGAGGGCTGGGCATGGTGGTACACACCTTTAATCCCAGCACTCGGGTGGCAGAGGGAGGCAGATCTCTGTGAGTCAAGGCCAGCCTGGTCTGCATAGTGAGTTCCAGGCCAGCTGGGGCTACAGGGAGACGCTGTCTCAAAAAGACCAAAAAAGAAAAAAGAAATGACCCTCTGATCATTTAGGAAGGGGACCCTAGGCTCAAAGGTATGAAAAAGAAGGGCTAGGCCACCCCAGTCTGATTGCATTGAAGACAGGAGACATTTGGGAACGGCCACACACACCACAGACAGGTCCTGAGCCACTGGCTTTGGGTGATTTTCTTGCTGCCTGCTGCACTTCCCATACCACCCCAGACCCCAGGGACCTGCAGGCCCCACTGCCTAAGACAATTTTAAGTGTACTGGCAGCACCCCCAGTCTGCACAGCTGTCCCTATGCCCCATCCCCCACATATGTCTGTTATTGTGGCTCAGTAGCTTGCAGTTCACCCCTCTGCATTTAATCGAGTTTGGGGAGAATCACCTTCCAGGTCCTTCATTTGTTCAGGTGACTTTTCTATTCTGTGCCCTCACCTCCCTCATGCTGGTTGTGCTGATACATTCCTGTATCTCCAGGCTCCAGTTGGCCAAGACCACCATGCCATTGCTACTCTGATGAATGTGACTGCTGGCCCTCCTTAAGGTGGCTGGGGGAACATGAGCCAAGCCTCTAGACCCATGCCTCCATGGAACATGGGCTTGTCCTTGAAAGGCTTAGAGCTTCTTTGGTTTCATACTTTATTCATATCTAAGCCACCAAGAGCTGACTATGAGGATACAGTGACTGCCTCGGAGCGTATCTCCAGGAGCCTTCCCGTAGCAACCCAGCACACTGCCAAACAGCTTTGAACTTCAGACCTGGTGTCTAAACTCATAGAACCCAAGATATTGAGGAAAACCTAAGGAACTACCCAAGAGCCTGGGTTTACCTCCTTATCCTTCTCACCCCCAACCCCCACCCCCACCCCTACCCCACTGCCAAAAATAAGCAGGGATACAGGAACTCAGTCTGAGGAGACTGAGGGGAAGAAGGAAAGGAAGGGAAGGCGATGGCTAGCTTTAGCTAATGAGAAATCTAGATGTGATGGACTTTGGAACAGACCATGAGCCCCTGCCCCACAAAGATCTTGGTAGTCAAACCAGATTTCAATATCTGTTCAGTTTGGTCTCAACTCTTTTTGGACTCTTTAAGGCCCATTGTATGATCCTCTTTAAAGAAATATTTTATTTTCAATGCAGACATAGCTCTTGATGTAGCAGTCAAAAACAACAACCCCGAGAGACACATGGCTGTGAAGTGTTTGGGTATGTAACCTCCTGTCTTTGCCTACATGGAAGGCCTGGTCCCACTGCTCTTTATGTCCCTCATGTGGGGTCCCCCCTGGTGCTCAGACTTCAGAAAGCACTGGAGTGATAGCAAGAGATCAGTTTGGACAGGAGGTCCCTTCTGCAAGGGACTGGTTTGGAACGGGGAGTGGTGGCCATCTTTCACCCAACAAGAGTTTCTTTGAGAACACCACTCCCTGCCCCCCACTCTGAAGATGGAAGTCAAATTTTCGGACTCTGCTGTGCAGAGCAGAGAGGTCACTGGGCTCTAATGCATTTACCATTGACTGCCCCTCTTGTAGTGCGTCTATTAGTGAGTAATTTGATTTGTACCTATTCATTTGCAGTCCCTGCAGGAGCCTGGAGCTGGCCCCTAGTATAATTGGTGCTGTCTCTATTTTTACATCATTAGATTAGCCCCGACTCCTGGCCACTTGTTGTCTGCGCTTGTCTGTCCATTTATACAACCTAATGTAACACAAAATTCATTACTGATCACATTACTTTCAACTCTGAAGCTAGCCTTGTGATAAACATTTGGTTAACCCCTTCCAACCCATGGGAGGGCTGGCAGAACAAATGCACTTCTGCTCGACGGGCAAATCAATATCTTAATACACCAAAGTGGAATTGCATTTCTAGATTTGTTATTCCTCCTGGAGGAGCAAATGGAAAGGCTCCTCCGAGCTAGCTGAATTGAATAATGAATAGGACCCGGCACCAGCAGCCTGTCTGTGAGCCCAGCACAAAGGCAGAGCGGCAACAGCCCAGCCTGGTCCACAGGCACGGCGGCACCACTGCAGATAGTGAGACTGTGGTCCCTCCTGCCACAGCACAGCACGTGGGCTCCCTAGCACAGGTTGGGACCCTAATGGAGATCCACCCCAAGGCATTTCTTTTGCTTAGCCAAGGGCTACTGGACTGGGAACTAGGTCAGTTTCCTTAAAACCTTATTTGTTGATGGAAAGGGTACCCAACTCATAGTTCTGTCTTAAATGCCACCAAAAACTGAAATTGGCTACCAAACCCAAGTTTACATTTGGAAGCAAATAATTTTTTTTTTTGGTTTCTTATTTAAAATTGAATTGGTGAGGGACTGGAGAGATGGCTCAGTGATTAAGAGCACTGACTGCTCTTGTAAAGGACCTGGGTTCAATTCCCAGCACCCACATGGCAGCTATGAACTGTCTTTAACTCCAGTTCCAGGGGAATCTGATGCCCTTTTCTGACATTCTGTGGCATTGCGTGACATGATGCACTCACATATGTGCAGGCAATACACTCATACACATAAAATAAAATAGTAAATAATTTTTTTTAAAAAAAAGAATTAAATTGGTGAGAGCCAGGCATGGTGACACACACCTTTGATCGCAGCACTGGGGAGGCGGAGGCAGGCAGATCTCTGTTGAGTTCAAGGCAGCCTTGTCTACATAGCAAGTTTCAGACCAGCCGGGGCTACTGGGAGACCCTGACCCTGTGTCAAAAAAGACCGAAAAAAAAAAAGAATTGGATCAGTGATATTGGGATTGGTGGTCTCCCACCCACTTTTTTATGTAGATGCCTGTCCCCCAAGTGAGCACTGTCCATACCACAAATGCACCTGTACAAGGTTCTAGTTATGTGGTAGGAATGCTTGTGAGCAGTTAGTAAAACGCTAATGCAGGAGCTGACCAAGAGTCCTAAAGGGACCACGGCACAGCTTTGTTTTCAGTCTAGAATATTCTGCCGAACCCCCACCTTCATCATCCCCCTTCAAACTCCCACTTGTCTCTGGGTAGCATCCACACACATAGCAAGTCATTAACTCACAGAACAGTTTGTTTCAAAGGGAAAAATACCTCCACTTATTAAGAAACTCTCATAAAGCCTGTACCACAGTGATTAGAAATATAGGCGTGGAGGAAATAGAATGGAACCCATTACCATGCAAGTCATAAATTCCTGAGTAAAAAGACGCCATAAACTGAAGATGCTCTGGTAGTAAGGGAAGCTGGGGAAACAGCTCCCTCAGGGTCTTTCTGCTTGAGGGAGTTTCGAGTGGGAAGCTGGAGAGGAAGAGGCCCTGGGGGTGTGGTGATAGGTGGGGCAGTGTCCTCCACAGAGGCTTGAACCTCAGACTCTGATATCCCTGATGTTCAGAGCCTTGCAGGCCAGAAATGCAAGAAGTTCTGTGAGATGGAGGCCCTGTGTTCCCTGAATGGCTCAGACACCAGCCTTGTCCTCATCTGGTAGTCTGATGCCTCCTTTGCATATGAGGTTGGGGAGAACTGGGGAAGGGGCACCCCGACTCAGTGGTCCTGAGGCCACAGGGCAAGAGGTAGGAAGTGTAGGAAATTACCTTACCTCACTCTGCCCTGGGCTCTAGGACCGAGCGGGGTGAGCTGCTTGTCCCAGAGCCTCCAGAATCATCACTCTCAAGTACTTCTGGCCACGAGGAGGGCTACAAAAAAGGAATTTCCTCAGCACAGTATTACAGGACACCCCATATATTCCAGTGGATGGAGACAAGTATCACTAAAGTAAGCCTGGGGCACAGTGAGTGTCTCCTCAGGGCTGGGGAAGACCCTTCCAGGAGAAGTGGGAGGATAGCCTCCCCCAGCTTACCATCCCCCAGTGCAGACTTACTCATTCACAAGCCTACAATTTAGTCTTGTGGGTAAACAGAATGGGTGAGGGGTCCCATGTGTCATGTATCCAATGCTAGCTCCAGCCTATAAGTTCTTGAAAGTAGCTAGGAGGAGCCAAGCACAGCACCACATGCCTGTAGGCCAAGCTACTTGAGAGGCTAAGGTGGGAGGATCACTTGAACCCAAATGTTCAAGACCAGCCTGCAAAACATGAGACCCTGTACCAAAGGAAAGAAAAGAAAAAAGAAAAGAAATGGGGAGGAAAGAGAGAAGGGAAGAAAGCATCTTTGCCTTTATAGACTAGGATGGCCCAGTGGCAGGGAAGAGTGATTCTGCTGAGTCTGCTGCTGCAATGAGGGACTGTGATTTCTTAACCTTGATGGAAAAGGGGGAAAGCCACATCTTACCAAACTCTTCCGCTGCGTCGTAGAGAATTTAATTATGCTTGGACATTTGAATGAGAACCAGATGTGGCTCTGGCCCTGCTGGCCAACAACATTCAAAGTATAGCGTCTCTGCTGTGGTCTGCAATCCCTGTGCTATCTCATAAGGCTGGGGGCTAGCTTGGGAAGTCCCCTGCCTGTGAGCTTGGGGTAGAAGCTTCCAGGCCTCCTAGCTAGACTTCAGGAGACACACAGGTGAGTACCAGCTGCCAGGTACTCAGTTTCTAAGGAAGGCTTCCAGCCCTCTCTCCTCTTCAGGGCTGTGTGGAGTGGGTACCAATGCTCGAGACTCCTTCTGGCATCTCACTAGTACCCACACGAAGAAGTCATGCCATAGCACCTGGCCTGGCATCCTGCATCCCCAAAGCCACATCTGCCATGCTGCTCAACCCTGAGTCAGCCTTAAATGGTATCTACTGAGGCAGGCCCCCCACATTGTGCAAGGACCCAGAGCTAGAAAGAGTATGTCAGCTCCCCACTGGGTAAGTCATCTGCTTCAGGGCCCCCAGCCTCCTGAAAGTGCCAGTCTTCTAAGCAGCTCTGTCTAATGCATGCTGTGCTTCTTAGAGCCCCTGGTACCCTTTCTCCCTAGAGCCTTACATGCCCCATGATGTCACTAGAGCACACTCTCCCCTCCTGCCTGCTTTGCACATGCTGAAACAAATGAACAGCAAGTGACTTGCCCAGGTCATTCAGCATACTGTGACAGTACTAGGGCTGGAGCAGTGGCCCATCTTCCTCTCATAGCCCTCCTCCTTCTGACCCCCTGTAGGGAACTCAGGGAACTCAGGGCTGATTCAGCCAGTCATCAAACACCTCAGAAGGGAAGTGTGAGTCGTGAGTTAGGGCAGCGCCACCTTCTGTCCCCTCATGTGTCCTTTGACAGGATGGACTCCCCATTGATCAGGGTTTGGTTTCTCTAATATGGCAGGTGCTGAGAGGATCACTGGGTATCAGGTGATGTGGTCTGGGTGGCTGGTCCTTCTCTACCTTATCCTCAGAAGCTGAGATTTGGGGAGGCTGTGGTGGTGTGGATTTCCTGGGAATGGGTGCTGCAACCATCCTGATTTAAGCCTGCATCCACCTGTTGGGGGAGAGGGGAGGGAGGTAGGGAGGCTCCAGCCCCAAATAGACCAAAGCTCTTCATGCTCATACCTCACTCACCAACTTGATATAGCTATTCAGCATTTCAAAAGGCTGTTCAGGAGATGTGGGGCCATGTTAAAATCGGCTCTGCCTGGAACTCCAGTGCCCTGTCCCCACCATGCACACACATGTGCACAGACACAGCTCCAGCAGAGATGCTAGGTTATGAGGCCTGGTAAACAGGGAGCAGGTCTTCAAGAGGCTTCCCACCTCCCTTCCTCTCCTTTATTCCTAATTTTATTCTCCTTTTCCTGATTTGCCAACATGCATATCTTCTCTCCTCATGCCCCTCACCCATGGGCCCACCAGGGATTCAGTGGTCTAGCCTACCTCCAAACCCCTACATTACTGGTGTTAGTACCACATTGATCTGCTGTTGGGAACAGGGTTCCCAGACTCTCTGCCCCATCTCTGGACAGAAGCTAAGGCAGACACTGGTCTATCTGTCTCCTTGAGTATCACCCTTTCCTGATACTGGTCTCCACTTTTACCCTCTAAGGGCCATGGACACCTAAGAGCATCTGAGGTCTCCCCAAACCCAGCTGAGGCCCTTAGGCATCTCCCCAAGCCCAGCTGAGGCCCTTAGGCACCTGTGCATGGCCCTGTGACCATAGCTTCCTAAGCTGAGAACACCTAAGATCTACCTTCACTACTGGCAGCTGGGGCTGAGGGACAGGCTAGGCCATGGAGTCTCAGCCTCATTCTGTCCTGATGTTCTGGGTCTTAGTACCTGAAGGAGTCAGGAACAAAAGCTGGGCAAAGAGCATGTTTGTGGGAGCCCTTAGGGTTGAGCTGACCGGGAGGGTGATTTGAACTGCCCTGGAGTGCTGCACGTGAAGAACACTCAGGAGCGCCAGGCTGTGTGTATGGTACAACACCGGAAGACTGGCTGGGCTATCAAGGACCTGGGTAAGAGCAGGCAGAGTTAGCCCTGCTTCTTGTCTTCAAACCAGGATTCCTGTGATGGTGATGGGAATAGGTGGAGCTTTTTCAGCCTCAGCCTTGCAGCTTCTAGAAGGTATTTCCTGACAAAAGTCTCAACAACTCTGCTAGAGGAAAAAGGTGGCTCCTGCCTCCACTAGTTTCAGCACCTAGATATCCCAGAACTTACCTGGGTGGGTAAGGAGGCCCCCTGTCTCTTGACATCTTTGCAAGCTTAGAAGCCAGGGGGAATGAAATGCGGAAGGACACAGAGGGAAGGTATAGGGAAGCCAGGCAGCCTCAGAGGTGGTGGGGGGTGCTGAGTGCAGAGGAAGGCAAAGCCCCCTCTAAGCTGCCTCCTTTAACTGCTGCACTTTTAACCTCCTAAAAAAAAAGTGCCCTGGGGGCTGAGCTGGCTCCAGCCCAGAGTGTGGTCTCTGCCGTTGCTGTCAGGGTCTTAGCAGCAATCTCAGCCAACACCATCTATGTCCCATCAAACAGGCCTCTGCCTCCTCAGCCACACTCCAAGAGAGCAGCAGTTTCTAGCCCCTGAGCTGGTATAAAACAAGCAACCCCTCATCCTGTTGGCTTGTCTACCTACTAGATGGCCTCAGGGCCAACTGTCCAGATCCCAGCCCCAGGAAGCATTCAAGCTTCCCCACCGACTCCTTAGTGCCTACACACACACACACACACACACACACTCTCTATCTCTCTCTTTGTTTCTTTCTCTTCCTCCACCTCCTCCTCCTCCCCTTCCTCCTCCCCCTCCCCCTCCCTCTCTGGCTCCCTCTTCCTTTCTACATCATTTGGTTTAGCTAATCCCAGCCCCCACCTCCCGTACATAGGCTTCTTGCTAACAAAATAACTGACTTGGTACAGACTCCATCTAAATAAGTTTGCCGAACTCGTAACTATCCTGTGGTCACCTGGTTTCCTCACTGTCTATCCTATCTACAGAAGATGCTGGTAGACGCCCACCCCCCAATACACATCTTCTTCTGCACCCAAGAACCCTCAAGCAGAAAGAAACTGAAGCTGTTCTGTTGTTTGCAAACCTTTCCTGTACTAGGTACTGGGCAAGACAGGGCAGTTCAAGTAGCAGCCATGTGCTATGTGTCCGTCCACTACCCTAGGCTACCACCAAGCCCAAGGGTCATAACCACAGCCCCTGCTAATGTGAAGGAACTGGGAGGTGGATACAGGAGAGGAAAAAAAAATCAATGCATGTCAACAGGGCTAGGGATTTATTTTCCATCTTGGAAAAGGGTGTTTGCAAAGAGGTAAGGAGGGAAATGAAAAGCTGTAAACAAATATCTGCCATCTTCCTCCCTGGGCCATTTCTTGATTAAAAAGAAAGAATCTTTACCCAGGCTCCAGTGGAGGCAGAGCTGGTGGGGACCTGGGTGGCAGGGCCACTTGCTGAGGAGGGAGGCTGGAGAGGGTCCCTGAAGTCCTGGGGATAATCACAGTGACTAATTCAATTGCAACAATAATAGTAACTCACATTTGCTGACTAGAAGCTTTAAGCACTTGTGATGCGCTCTACATGCATTATTTAATTTCATTCTTGCAACCAGGCTATGAAACAGACATTGTTATCCTCTTGTTCAGGAACCCAAGGCTCACAGATCTGAGTAATTTACCCAAAGTCTCCCAGGAAGCAGGTGGCCAGAAGCTGTGCTCTTAACAGCTTCCTTAGACTGCTTCCACCATCCCAGGCAGATTGGCCTGCCCACCTGCCTTTCTCAGGCTGTTTGGGAAGTCTTCCCCCTCTTCACTGCAGGAAGTGGGCAGAGCCTCAGCAGGGGCAGGCTCCTCCAACTAGGTCTAATTCCACTCCTACTGGGCAGTGTGGGTGGCCAGTTTAGAACTGGGTTGTGTGGCTACAGCTAGGGCTCAATAAAAGTACTCTGCTAATCCCTTTCATGAGCAGCATCTTGAAGCTCATGCACCACAGCAAGGCTAGCTGGAGCCCCGAGGAAGCCAGAGGAGGTGGGCAGTAGGTACTATTCCTTTCGTGGTGGTGGCGGAAGTGTGCCTGGGCCCTAGGCACCTTCTTCCCAGACACACACAGCACTGCCCTCAAGGTACTAGAAGCAAGCTCCTTCTGGGTCCTGGAGATTTGGGCTTTTTGAAATGTTGCAGGACTCCCTCAGGGTCTCAGGCTGGTCAAACCTAAAGAATACCCAGCCTTGCCTGGCATGGTGGTGCACACCTTTAATCCCAGCAGAGGCAGGCAGATCTCTGTGAATTCAAGACCAGCCTGGTGTCTACATAGTGAGTTCTGGCCAGCTGGGGCTACAGGGAGACCCAGTCTCAAAAAGACCAAAAAAAAAAAAAAAAAAAAAAAAACACCCAGCCAAAAATAGAATTCACTTTTGGCCTTCTCCTGGAGCCCACCTCCCAGCTCTCACTAAAGCCTGGTGTCCTCAGCACTTCACTCCAGGGCAGAGGAAACCAGACACCATGGTGTGCAGTAAAGTAGTTGATGTGTGAAAAGTCACCCTGTCCCATCCATCCCCAGCACTCCTCTGCTCATCAGCTCACACCCAGAGCGCCCAGGAGCAGCCATTGCTGCTCACATTTGACCAAGGGGCTACATACCACTGTGGGGTAAGAGGAGGGAGCAGCTATGCCCAGTCTCCTCACACGGACTGATCATGGCCCTTCCCCATGTATTCTCAGCAGACACACTCAGGTAACCAGACTCCTCCCAAAAGGCCAGCCACCTCTCTGTGTCCCTCAGACACCATAGGAGTTTGGCAGGCCCTGCAATGTGGGGACAACCTGTACACAGGGCCTCCTCATCCCTAGGCTTATATGATGAGAGCAGAGGCCTCTCCCTTCTCATTGCTACCCCCTTCTGTCTTCTTCTGTCCCTGGTAGCCTGCCATCCCAGCCTATGTCACGAAGGAGCAGCTGTGGTAACAAAGGCATTTTCTACTAAGATTGGTAGGGAATGGGAGACATAGGCAGTAGTGGGTATTGGAGCCAGGCTTCGTGGGACCTGGATTGCTGGCATCCTGTAGCCTGCCCCAGCACCAGTTCTCCCTCTGGGATGAACCCAGTATCTCTTCAACTTCGGTTTTGCTGTCTGCTGCAAGATAGGGTTATCATTCCTCCCTTCCAGGGGCACCAAGTCCCTAGAGGATATGAGGGCACAGTCTGAGTCTAGCCACTTACTTGGGACTCCTCCTCTTGCTCTGTTCAGGGGGCAAAAGAACATGCTGTCTTCAAAAGAACAAGTGTCATCCTATGGGCCAGACTCTGCAGACTGTAGAGACCCTCCCCAGTCTACTGGCCCCCAGTGCTCTCTCCTGGCCTTGGTGGGTTTCACCAGTCTACTTACACTGCAGGAGAGCTGTCCAGAGCTGGGAAGGGTGGACATGGGGAGGAGGGCGGAGCCAGGGTGGGGCCACTGAAACAAAATGTCTAGGGTTTCCCAGAAAACTCTTCAGTCTGTCTCCTTCCCCCTCCTCTCCTAGCAACCCACCTGCATGGGGCCCCAATTGGCACTGCATGGGCCATAGGTCCCTGTCTGTCCCCTTCCCAAAGTTGTTGTCATGCCTAATGTGTGACTCCTCTTCCTCCACCCCCATACTGGAAGGGTCACAACACTTCTACCTCTGGGTGCCTCATGACCCGCCAGTCTCCCGCCGCCTTCACATGCATGTTAGTGTCCTGGGCTGCAGAATTTCACTGCGAGCCTTGCCATGTGCCACCCCCGCGCCTCCTTCCACCCTCTCCTCCTGCTTGTGGAGATCAGTGTACCTCTCGATCATTGTCCATATCTTTTCCGGAAAAATTAAAAAAAAAAAAAGATTCCTCAATGCTTTTCTTTTCAAAAGGGAAAAAAAAAGGAAAAAAAAAACAATGCCAACAACCCAGCGTCCGTGAACAACCCAACAGTAACAAAGCATGCGTTCGGGATGGAGGAAGGTAAGGCCACATGTTTCCACTCGCCACTTGCTCCTAGGGCTGGGCGGCTGGGGCGAACTGAGGGGGGAGCCAGTGTGTACCTACCCCTCTTCCACACTCATTTCCCACATACTGTCAGTCTTGCATCTTTGGAACAAAGAGAGAAAGGGTTTGACAGAAGACACATAGGAAAATACCCAGGAGACTATTCTGAGACCAGCCACGCCCCTGTTAGTCCATGCTGAAGAAAAGCCCTTTGTCCCCTTACCACTTCATTCATTCATTCATTCGTTTGTTCTTTCATTCCAGAAATGACTTTTAACTGCCAACTTCTTTCAGGCCTGTGACTATGATTGGGACACAGAGATGAGGCACACACTCCCTCTCAAGGACTATCCTCCTAGAGCGGCCCAATGCTTGAAAGTGTTCAAGGGACCTAACTAGGAGCATCAGGGAGCTCAGTGAGGCTAGAGGCTCTTCAAGGAGCATCAGGGTTCATAGAAGAATGGACAACTACGAAAAACTTAGGAAGATGAGCTAGTGTTCTGGGGCCCAGGGGCCTAAAGCCATCCACACAGGTTCCTTATTCAGGTGCCTCAAGTAAAACAGCAGGGAAGGACTGGGAGGTAGGCTATAGAAAGTCATTTGGTAGTGTGGGACGTTTAGGCCTTATCTTGGGAACCCTGAGGAGTGAATGACAGTCCTTAAGAGGGGAATAACAAAATGAGTTTTGTGCTATAGACAGCCCTGACTTTGAGTGGATGAGTCAATCTGGAGGTCAGGAGACCCCAGTGGTGAGTGCCGACTAATCAGGGCACTATTGGGAAGAGGTAGAGACAAAGGCTGCAGAACCTTAGGCACCCTGAGATTTGGGAACAAGGGAAAAGCCTGCTCAGCCCCATTTCTCCCAGACCTAAGCAACAAAGGGAAGCATGAGCCAGGCAGCTCAGCTGTGCCTGGCCTCCAAGAGCAGCAGATCCATCTTGTAACCCCCTTGGCAACTGTCCCTGCAATGTCACTAGATGGGTGGGGTGCATCCACTCAGACTTGTGTGATGGGGTCACTAAGGCTGCTTGGGTGTTGCTGGAGGCCTATACCCAGGGATGGTGAGGTGCCATGCTTGGGCCAGGCCTCTGGATTCCTTGGCTTCTTTGGCAGTGTGGATATGTTGCATCAGGACTGTTGGGGCTATCTTTCTGCTTGGCAAAGGGGCCACCCTTCCCCTTACTCATGGCCTCTCCTGCTCCTTCATCTGGGGCTCTCTTCCTCAGGCCTGGTGTCCTTCCAGATCCTGAGGAGGCCCCTGCTTTTCTTGCTACTGCCTGCTCCTCTCCTGCCCTCCTGGCCCTGCTTTCAGCGCCCCCTAGTGCCAGGATGGCTGTGCAGGAGGGCAAGGGCCTCTGAAACTTACTCAGGCCCTCTGGTCTCCCTGGGAAACCAGAGCTTGCTTTCTTAGAGAGAAGGGGAGGGAAGGAGCACGCCTGGAGTCTGCTGCTTCTGTGAGAATACTCAAGCCCTCCCCTTTGCTCTCTAGCCCTTACCCTCTCACAGTATGCACACTAGCCTAGTCCCCAAACGAGAGTGATCCTGAAGACTGAGCAGCCTCCCGCCTTGTTTTCTGCCCATTCAGAGTTATCCTGTGGCTTTCCCAAGACCAAGGCCCCATGGGCAGCCAGTGTTTTGGGGGATCAGGGACCAAAGAGCCAGTCCCTTAGCCTATGTCCACAGTGCCCCTCCTACTACTCACAACGTGCTAGGAAACTGGGATGGCCTTGTGCTCATCTAGCCTGGACTCAGGCCCAGTCATGACTGGTGTAGGTGTTTTCCTTTTCCCAATCTCATTCTGTGGCTGCTGCTGCTGCTGGGCCGCCTAAGGGCTATAGGGTGGCCTTCAGGGTGTGGGGAGTGGCTGGCTGGTGATGGCCAGCCCAGTAGTAGAGGCCATGACCCCTCACTCCTAACCAAAGCCAGCTGTGCTGCATGTGTATGGTGGCAGGGGCCTGGCATGAGTACATGGAAACATGGCTCTCAAGACAGATCAGATGACTGTACTGTTGGGCATACTTTGCTGTTTTGAGTAACCACTTTGGGGTCCTACACTCGAGGTAGAAGACAGGCAGAACCCCATAATCACAGGCAGACATGCTGCAGAAGAAGCTAAGCTTCAGGTCACCACATCTGGACATGGAGAAGACTCCAGAGACAGCTTAGGCCTGCGCTTACCCACATATCAGAGCCAACAGTGAGAAGCTAACAGGAAACTGGAAACAACTGCCCTCAGAAAACTGAGAAATGCTTCTTTCTTTTCTCCTCAAATCCAACAAGCTAAGAATCCTGTTCCCAGCCCTTTCCCTGCCCCAGTTCCTGTCTCAGATGAAGAGATGGTGAGGCAGTTAAGGTGCCCATAGCTTAACAAGATAGGTCTGGCTACCATATCCATAATATCAGCATGGAGGGATAGGGAACAGGGAAGGGGAGCAATAATAGTTCGCTACAGCTTGTGCATTCTGTGGGCCTCCAGGAGGCTTAGGAGCTAAGAAGAAGGAAGAGAGGAAACATTCAGTCATGTAGGGATTCTCTCTCCAGTGGAATAAGCACCTCCAAACCAAGTATCCCCTCATATAGGGAAGCTGGACACTTTGTAAAATGTGCCCAGAACAAGCCAAAGCCTGGCTAGCAGACAAACGATGTGAGTGAATAACGGATGGCTAAACTGTGACAGAATTTCAGGAACAAGCCAGCTGGAATAGGAATAGATCAGACAGGCAGACTATGACTCTTTTCTTGTTCTGGTTTCTGCCCACCCGATGATCTGAGACAGTGTGCACTGTGGAATTGGAGAATGCTGGCTGAGCATGAGTGTATGCAGGTGCTGGCCCGTGCCCCACAAACAACAAGGGCTGTCCACACAGATCATCAGGGGACCATACGTCTTGCCTGAAGGCACAGTACAGGAAACACCCAGGTCAAAAACTGTAGTCTGCCTGCCAAGGGGACTTCTCCTCTGGCTGGCTGAACCCCCCCCCCCATGACCTGAGTGGCCCACCTGGCCCATCTGGGGAGCAGGTGGGGAGCCTCTCTGCAGAAGGATGTGAGTGTGCCCCCATCCCCAACCTACTCTGACCAGACCTGGTCCTTTCCTCTGTCTTGCAGAACTTCAGCGAGAGGGAAGCATCGAGACTCTGAGTAACAGCTCAGGCTCCACCAGCGGCAGCATCCCAAGAAACTTTGATGGCTACCGATCTCCACTCCCCACCAATGAGAGCCAGCCACTCAGCCTCTTCCCCACTGGCTTCCCATAGGCACCAGCCACCTGCTTCTGACTGGCTGCCCTGCTCGTCTGCTAGAGGGAGGGGGAGAAGCCCCCCTCTCGTCCTACCCTTCAGTCTCTGCTCTTCTTTCATCAACCACCTTCCCTAAGCTTAATGACAACAGTTGCTCATCCTACCTGGACGAGAAGAAACCCTTCTCCAAAGCACCTTGGTGCACCCTGACCTCTACCGCTCCTGTCAGTGGGGGCTGTGGCCAAAAGAGACTGCAGCAGCTCAGTCCCTTCTCCATTTGCACATGATGTTCTGCATTGGATCCGCTTTTGTATTTTCTAACCGAACCTGCAGGGGAACTGGAACAGTGGCCAGATCTTAGTGCCTGGGTGGGGAGAAGGTGAGTGGTCCATCTAGGCATTTTGGCGCTTGGTGGACAATGTCAGCCCTAGCCCACTTGAGGCTGTGACATACACTGCCTCCAGCTTCCCCTGCTCAGTTTCCTCCAGGACAGGAGTGAACTGAGACCCAGAGTGATAGGGAAGGAGGAAGGAAAGAGAAGCCTCCCCTTGCCCCTTGCTTCCCCCATTGGCTCGTGGGAAGAGTTTGTCTTTCTTTATGCCCTTGTACCGTGGTCCTGTGCTGTTCAGTGAAGGAAACCGTGGTTAAGAAGGCCCTGTCGAAAAGTGCACGTCTTGTCCAATAAATCACACTGCAATTGGTGTCCATCCCTGAGTTGCTGGGGTCAGGGTCCTCTCCAAACACTGAGCAGAGTCTTGTAGGTCTGACCATGGGCACCAGCTCCCAACAATCGTACCTCCCATTCCCCATATACAACTCAGTAGAGAGCCCATGCTGGGTAGGAAAAGGGAGGAGAATTTTCCCACTGGAATTTAGGAGGGGCTCCACTGAAATACAAGTTCATTCTCCAAGCTTCTTGCCTGCTACCAGAGCCAGTGAGTTCTGGAGGTGTCAAGCTTGGGCCTCCCTACTGGTGAACATGAAGGCCAATCCAGCCCCTGATGTGGAGCTTACCATGCCTGGCCTTGTCTTCAGTGCACTTCAGAATTGCCTCCTCTCGAGCTCAGAAGATAATATAGTTGTCTGCTAAGTTGAGTATCTTGTGAAACCTGGCCAAAACCTCAGCAAGTTCTTGATTTTTTTTTTTCAATCAAGTCTCAGGTAGCCCAGGCTGGCCTCAAACTCACTTTGTAGCCAAGTATGACCTTGAATTCCTTCCTGCCTTCTTGTGTCCACTTCTCAAGAACTGGGATTAAAGGCATTGTGCCACCATCCCCAGACTAAATTCCTGTTTTCATTCCTTCCCTCCAATTCTGGACCTAAGTGAGTGGTGACAAGGAGACAGGAGCTAAGCAACAGAAGACTGTAGTGATCAGGAAAGAAGCTAGTGCTAGTTCTAGTTCCCCCTCCCCTTCCCTGGCCTATCCTCTCAGAGACCCCAGAGGTGGCCTTGAAGGACTGTAGGAAATTCACTGAACCAGGTGTACTTTGGGGTGAAGTTTTTAATGGAAGGGTTGAGTTCACACACAAGCAGCCTTCCCGTCCACCCATCTGGTCAGACCTAGGGCAGCTCCTGGGCCCCTGCCGCCTCCACATCCCCCATCTCACTCTGGTGCCTGAAATGAGATTTAATCTTCAGTCTCCTCCATTAGAACACTTGGAACTATGAAGAGATTTGACTCACATTATCCCTCCTGCCTGGACTCCTGGGGCCAAGAAACCCCATACCAGAGGGAGGCTTTCGGAGAACACAAGACCTAGGCACCAGTAGCAGGGGTACTACTGCAGGAGGACAGCTTTTACCATTTGGGCTACATTAGGCATTGTGCCTGGCACAGGCCCCATCCCCAGCTGGAGCAGCATTTCAGTCAAGAGAAGACAGAAGGAGGGTGCAACAGGCTTTCTGTACATGCAGCTGGTGGTCTGGCTACTCTAGAAAGCATGAGCCCCTCTGCACCCACCCTCAGACACATGAATAGGGCAAAGACATTGCTGCCAGGAGCTCTCAGCCATGCAGGGGACTGGTGGACCCTGGCCCAGCCCTTCATTTCCAGTGGGGGCAAAACAGCTGTGGCCTCCTCCAGTCAGGGAAAGTGGTGGGTGTAGTGCTGGACTTGTCCTCTGAGCTTGCAGGACAATCTGGTTATTCATCTGCTTGTAACTCTGAGTAAGTGGGGGGAGGGGGAGGATCAGAGAGCCCAGATAAGCTGGCCCCATGGTGGCTGCCACTGGAGCTCAGGTTATCAGAAAGGCCCTGAGCCTGGCCTCCAGCTAATTGGGAAGGTTAGGGACCCTGCCATAGCCTGTAATCAGCTGGAAGTGAGAGCTGGGCAGGGGACCTTACTGCCACTGGCCCCAGAGCAGCCAGCCTCTTATCCTCTGCAGATAACATCCAAAACAACCTCCACCTCCCTATAGAAACCCCCATCCAAGACCTCATGATAGCATCACTTAGAAGGTCATCAGAACATGAATCTAATTGTGGCTGGGCCAGGTGACCTTGAGAAAGGCAAGTGACCTAATTCTCACAGTACTACCACTCATTGGGCTACCTCTCAACTTGATGGAAGAAAAATTCCTTCATGATCTGCAGAGTGCCTGATGGGTAGTGGAATGGCAACTCAAAAGGCATGATACTGTCTGGGAGTGATTCAAGAAAAAGCCCAATGGTCCAAGGGCAAAATCAGACACACAAGCACAAACACCAGCTCTGCCAGGGGAAGGCAGAGGCCAGGCCAGGTAGCTACAAGATTGCAGTGGGGGATAATTTACCAATACTCATTTTTATTATAAATCAGACTGTAAACCAGAAGATGTTCTTAACACTCATGCACCGCTTCTTGCAGATGACAAGCCTGAGCCCTAGAAAAGGACCTTTCTCAAGGTCATGGAGTCACACAGCTAGTCATCTGACTCCTGTCTGCACCTTGCTTCTTGTGCCCAGCCAGCAAGGAGAAGCAACCTGAATCCCAGCTGACCTCTTTGTGGTGTCCCCAGACAATCCCATATGCAGCCCACTCATGTCCTACCCCTTCAAGTTTCTGGCCTGCCGCTGACTGACCTTGAAGCTGCTTCCTTGTCTCTGAGTAACCCCCTTTTCCCTGCAACCCCCTCTTACAGAAAGATCCTGAATGCTAAACCCCAATGGAGGCTAGCGGCTCTGGCCTGTCAGTATGGACCCACTCTCTGAGCAGGTCCAAAGTGACACCATGACCTTTTCCTTAATAAGGAGTGGATTCAGGTTTTAATTTTAAGGTTCCGGGGCTCCATTCTATCTCTTCCACCAAGAGTCATATGTTCTTAAGTGAATCAACTGCATCTCTGGGCTTCAGAATTTTCATCTGTACAGGAGAGGGACTGGGGAGAGCCAAGCAGGAGCAACAGGGCTGACACAGCAGGTCAGAAAGGCAAAAGGGTGTTTACAGACTACAGTCCGGGCAGTTCTTTGGCAGATGAGGGGCTGCAGAGGCAGCGCAGCTGGAGCACAGATTGTGACGTCCTGGGCCCAAGCTACTCCAGAGAATCCAGGCAAAAGCTAATCAGCAGACCAGCCCCGCCCCTCTGTTTCAGGTGGGCTCGTCGTCGGGCTCCTTTCCCGAACTTTGCCGGTCTCAAACCCTTCATGCTCCCAAGATTCCCAAGCATCCACTCCGTAGCTCACCCTCCTGCACGCCCAGGCGCACTCAAGTTCAAAATGCTCCCTCACTTTTGCCGACCCGCATGTCCCAAACGCGGCAAGCGCAACTCGCGGAACCAGAACCCTGCAGCTCAGAGTAGTGAGCAGTTTCCCGGGGTTGTTACAGAATTCCCAAAACTGGAGAAAGTCATCCATCGTCGACGGGGACACTGTTTAGGTTCCTGACCGCGTGATCCTCATTCAGAGAGACGCCCCACGAGGACCAAGTACGTCCCCAGTCAAACTGAGCCTCGCCTTTGCATCAACCTGGAAGCGAAGGGACAGGGCCACACAGGTCGTGACTGCCGGAGCGCTTCCCAGGGCCTAACTAGAAGTGGCCCTCGCGGCTGGGCCTGGCATTAGACCGCGGCCACACCAAGCCCAGGAAGGGGGTCGGGCAGCCCACTCTCCCGGCATCGCCCACCCCACCCCAGCCGTTTGGCCAGGCGGTGCTCTGGGTAAATTGGGACGGTAGGGAGAGGCGACCCGCGAGCTGCGGCTCCAGGGAGGCTGCGCGCCTGTCAGCCACAATTTGTTTAAGTGGACGGGACAGGCCAGCCGCTGCGGGCTGGGGTCACCGAGGCCGCGGCCCCCAGCCTGGCCAGACCCGGGACCGCGGGGGAGCCCAGCCCCGCTATTAAACCGGGCTGGCGCCAAGGCTCCGGGAGGCGCGAGCCCGGTGGAGAAGCCACGGATGGAAAGCAACTACATCTGCTGCGAGAGTGTCTTCCTTCACTAACCCCTAGACACACACAGACACACGACAGAGCGAGAGAGAGCAAGAGAGAGAGAGAGAGAGAGAGAGAGAGAGAGAGAGAGAGAGAGAGAGAATGGAAAATGGGATGGTCGCACCTAGTGTCACCCCCACAGCTGTTCCTAAGCATAGGACTACACACCACATGTCACCCCAGCTTTGCCCTGGCACAGGGATATGCCAAGAAGCACCGAGTGCCTAGTTACTTGCCCGCCATGTCCCCCTCAACCCCTGTGCCACAGGACCACACATCGCCCAGCGTTCCCGCCATCCACTCCACGTCCATGCGGGCGCACACGCAAATCCACGCCCAGGCACATAAACGAAGACACCTACGGGGGCCTATGCGATTTGAAAAATCAATCAGGGGAGGTCCCAGCAGTGTCACTTGACCCTGCACCAGATTGCAGGGCTAAAAGACGGAAGGGCAGCCGGGCCTGGCTCGGGGCCGGGGCTCCCCGCGCTCTGTCTGGGCGTTGCGGGAAGCGCTGAGGACTGACTGCGCGCAATGGGCCTGGGGCCACCAGGCAAGGCCCGCGCCCGCCCGACGCCCCCGCCCAGGACCGCCGGGGAGAGGGAGGGGCGGCTGAGCGCGCGTCCCCCACCCGTCTGCGGGGCAGGGCCGATACGAAGTGACAGGGGCCGGAGCTTTGTTGTGGAGCCTCGGCCGCCTGGCGCCAGCCGCCCCCGCCCGAGCCCTCCTCCTCCAGCCCCGGGCGGCCCGCGAGGCGCCCCCCGGGGCCTCTTAAAGAGACACGCACACCCGGCCCCGGGGACTCCCCTAGGGGCGCCTGTTCCTGGGAAGGGGAGGGGGCATGGGCCCAGGCGGGGGAGGGGCGGAGTCCGAGCTGGGAGCCGGGAGGCGCCGCTCCAGAGGCTGCTTGTGTCGCCCCAGCGCCAGTTTTGTATGATGTGAGGATATTCTAAGCAAGCATTTGACTGGGGGGGGGGGTCGATATAGATTCTTAAGAGTGAGTTAGGCAGGCCCACCGGGTGACTGCGAGAAAGTGGGGTGGGGCCTATAGTGGGATACCATCCTGCCCGGAAGAACCAGTGACCAGCCTGGGCTGCAGGCCCCCTAATGCTGCCTCTGCGCCGTAGCTCCTGTGTTTCTAGGGCAAATAACCCTGAGAGTTTGGTGTTTCAAATCCTTGGCCTGGATGGGTAGACCAGCAACTGTATGCTACCCAGGAAAATGTCCAAAATGCATACTTCGATGCATACATTCTTAAAGTACTAAAGTGCCTGTCCACGTACACACAACTTTGCAAATATATTCACGGATTCCCAGGCCCGTACCTGGATACACAGCTAATTTGGAAAGCTCACTAACTGGCCACGTGTGTTCACACGCATCGCCCCCTGGAGGGGCCACATCCTGTTGTCTAAATTGGATCCTATGCAAAGCACTGGGTCTCACCTCGATGTGAACACTGGGCAGCCAGAGCTGAAGGTCCATTCTAGGCAGAGAAGACATTGAGAGGAGCAGCTACCCTAGAGTAAGTTCCTGAAGAAAACCCTGTGGTGCCGGCGCGCACAGACAAGCGGCTGTGAAGAAATACACAGCTCTGGTGCTGGCTCAGAAAAATAGAAAAAAGGTCATGAAGGCCAAACGACTCCTGCTGGTCCCAACTCCAGTCAGGGGCCGTTAGGCATCTGTTTACTCGTCTTTCTGCCCTGTAGCCAGGAGTGTGCGGCTGAGGGCCAGCTGCCTGGGCCACTGGGATGTACGTGTCCACCAGGGGACACAGGGCCGGTGCAGGCGGAACTCACTTCTGTAGGCTACGGGTGGGAGTGCTGACCTTGACTATTTCATACTCCGCCTTTTAGCTCGGAATGCGACCTCCAGAAGCCTGCCGGAGGGTCCGCGCCCAAGTCTTATTTGAGGCAGATGTATGATCGCTTTACTGACCCCGGACACCCTTGACTATAGTTCTTGATGTGCATGGAGGCGCGAAATATACCACACACACACACACACACACACACACACACACACACACACACACACACCGAGATGCACTAGGGCTGCCGTAAATGAGAAGCAAAGACTGATGCCGAAGGGGTGTTCACAAGTGCTGGCAGGCACCCTGATTTCCACGCGCATTACTCAGCACTCCTGAACTTGGGAGCCTGGAACTTCCGAAAGACGGAAACAAACTCTAGAAAAGTGACTGGGAGCGGAGAGGATGCCGGTGTTTAGAAAGAGATAGACTTGCATCTCCAGTACTGGATGCGGCGAAAATTCTTTCTGGCACGGGTGGAGAATCCGAGGTCTGAGATCAGCCGGCGCGGTGCCGCCCTGGGCTCTCGGCAGAAGGTGCGCTCACCTCCCCGGCCCTAAGGACCTGTTCTCCCAGTCACCGGAAGGCTCTGGGCAGAGGAGCCACCAACACCGACCCATACTGGAATAAGTCCAGGGAGCACCCGGAACCCCGGGTTCCTCCTGAGTCAGTGAGGGGAAGCCAGGCTGGAGGAGTCCCCGCATTTCCCCAGCGCAAGGCAGCGTCCCGCTCCCGCCCGTGCCGGCCCCATCAAGGTTCTGCCACGGCTCCACTCACCGGCTCCCGCCACCTGGGTTCGGCTCCGGGACCTCAGCCGCCCGAGCCTCCCGACTTGCCCGCCCACCGGCCTCGCTTTCCAGTGCCCGCAGCCTCCCTCCGGAGCGCAGGGACCCCGGGCAGCCACCGGGAGCGGGGTCGGAGGCCAGGCTGGGGAGCGGGCCCGAACGGCCGGGCCTCCCCGTGCAGGAGAAAAAGGGCGCCCCCTCTCCTCTCGGGAACGTGTCAATGCTTTGCACTTGGGGCCGGCTTGCGGCCAGGGGTCCTTCTCCAAGGCCCTGGGACCCGGGCGCCCCCTGCCTCAGGCCCTTTCGGAGGGTCAGGTCGGCCCTCCGCGCTCTCCAGTCCTAGAGCAGGCAGCTGCAGGCGCGGGCGGTGGGGTGGGGGCCAGGCCAGGGGGAGGGGTCTTGGGGCCCGCCGGCCCGTCATTGGTTAATATTTTATTCTGTTGACATGTTTTCTTACTGCTGAGGCTTCCGACACCTTCTCCCCGGCCCCCCGCCTCCCGGCCAGAGCTTGGCCTGAGCTGTCAAAACCCCGCCCCCGGAGACCCACAATTGGTCCAAAAAGCGTAAAATCAGCAATCAAGGGGGGCCTGGCTCGTTAGCGCAGGGGATCCGAGCAGGGCAGGACATGTGAGATAGTCACAGTTTTCCAGAGATCAGGACAAGATCTAACCAGTCGCGCGTGGTCCCCGGCGCCGGAGCCGGCCAGCCCAGCCCAGCCCAGCCCAGCCCAGCGCAGAGCCCCCTCCGCCCCCGCGCCCAGAGCCCCGCGCCCAAAGAGGTGCGCGGGACCCGGAGCCGCGAGGAGCCGCTGCCGCGCCTGCCGCCTGGACCGTCCGTCCTCCGCGCGCGCCGCCGCCCGGGCCGGGGGTCCGAGCCGCGCGCCCCCGGCCCCGGCCCCCGGGTGCCTGGGCCGGATGTCCCGATGAGAGAGCCGGCGCTGGCAGCCAGCGCCATGGCTTACCACCCGTTCCACGCGCCACGGCCCGCTGACTTCCCGATGTCCGCCTTCCTGGCGGCAGCGCAGCCCTCCTTCTTCCCCGCGCTAGCGCTGCCGCCCGGCGCGCTGGCCAAGCCTTTGCCCGACCCGGGCCTGGCGGGGGCCGCGGCCGCGGCCGCCGCAGCAGCTGCAGCGGCCGAGGCGGGGCTGCACGTCTCGGCACTTGGCCCGCACCCGCCCGCTGCGCATCTGCGCTCGCTTAAGAGCCTGGAACCCGAGGACGAGGTGGAGGACGACCCCAAAGTGACGCTGGAGGCCAAGGAACTGTGGGACCAGTTCCACAAGCTGGGCACCGAGATGGTCATCACCAAGTCCGGGAGGTAGGGCGGCCGGCGGGCGGGCGGGCTGGGGGACCGGACAGCACCCCAGCAGCACCCAGCCGGTGCTCTCGGCTCCCGTTCCGGCCCTGGCGCCACGCTCCTCTCTGAACACAAGCAAGTTGACTTTTTTCGTTTGGCACCGGAGCGAATTTAAAAGAAAAGAAAAAAAAAAAAAAAAAAGCAAACATCCCTCGAATGAAATAAAACGAAAACATGCTCCTAAAGAATAGCCCCAACAGTTCGGAGTCTCAAAGCCGAGAAGGCCCTGTAGCTCGGCCCTGGCGAGTCTCCTCCGCCCTGGCGGTCTCGCTTTTGTGTCGCCGGGTGGGTCTCTGATCCAGGGAGAAGGAGCGTTTTCTGGATTCTCCGCACCCTCCCTGGAGTCCACAGTGGGACTCCAGCCCCACGTCCTGCTAGCTGCAGACCGGCCACTTGATTCCGGCGAGGAGCCTTGGTTCTGTTGAGCCGGTAGCCAGGCCCTGGCTAGAATCTTGTCCAGACCCTGGAGCTTAGAGCTCAGGACCAACCGACTCCTGAGGCCTTAAAGCCAGTGAAATGACACAATCTCAAACCCTTCCACCACTTCAGCCACTGAGAATCCAGGCCTCGGGTTCACCCTGTTCCCCCGAACTCCAGGCTCAGGATCACAGATCACATCAAGGCTGTAAATCGGTTCCCAAAATAAACTCCTTGGGAATTTATTTCTGAGAACTCAGTTCCAAGTGTATATTTCCTCAGAATGATTTTCAGGGAGATTCAGAAGAAACTAGTGTATTTCTAAAGGGCCTAGATTTCTCTCCTGCGTATCAGCCTTCATCTCAGATGGGAGGAAAAGAAAGGTCCCAGGATCTGAGCACAAAGCTCACCCAAGGCCTTATAAGACAGGGTCAGTCTGACCAGCAGAAATGGGATTTCCTGGGAGTAACAACTGCAGGCCAAGTCTCCCCAGCAATAGTTAGAGTGCAGCAAGTGGAGGATTTAACAGGAAAACACAGTTTTGGCAGGGGTGACAGATAGGGGAGAGGTAAAGGGGGTGGAAAGGCCCTTGGACTTGGGAGACTGGGGTCCCAATGGCATGTCCCCCTTCCCTCTCTCCGAGGCGGATGTTCCCCCCCTTCAAGGTTCGAGTCAGTGGCCTGGACAAGAAGGCCAAATACATCCTGCTGATGGACATTGTGGCTGCTGATGATTGCCGTTATAAGTTCCACAACTCACGATGGATGGTGGCAGGCAAAGCTGACCCAGAGATGCCCAAACGCATGTATATCCACCCAGACAGTCCTGCTACTGGGGAGCAGTGGATGGCCAAGCCTGTGGCCTTCCACAAGCTGAAGCTGACCAACAACATTTCTGACAAGCATGGCTTTGTGAGTGTGGGCAGAGTGGGATGTGTTGAGAAACTGAGTGGGCTCACTGTAGCTGGGTGGATAGAGGATATTACAAGGTTCCTTGAGAGGTGTACCAGTCAGGCCTCTAGAGTACCCCCCCCAGGCCTATTCATTACCCTGAGCTTATCCTGCTCAGGTAAGCTGGGCCTGGGTCTCTAATGCTCTGTTCTACAAGTCTGAGGAAGAGCAGGTCAGCTGCCTATGGGAAGTTCTAGGCTGCTCTCAATCTCAGATCTGGTCAGAACTTTGAGGGCCCCTCCTAGAGTCAAGACAGAGGCAGGTGCCACAGGAACTAGGGTCAAGCAGCCCAAGTCCTGGGGAGGTTACCCTGCTATGGGCCTGCAGATGCTGAACTTAGAAAACCCACTCCCATCCCTAACCTTTTCCCAAGGCTAGGAGATTTGAAAATTAAACCAGCCACCCTTGGTCTTCAGTCTTCAGGAGCTCTTTCCCTCCAGTTAAGGCAGATACCCAGACAGGAGAGAAATGGGGGGAGGGGGCTCCATTTCTGCCTGAGCCAAGGTCCCAGCAAATGGTGAGGGATCCACTAGGAAAAGGGGACTCCCATTGCACTAAAGGCAGCCTGGGAGGCACCCACACACACACATATATACACACTTCTCTCTGTATAGGATTTCTGGAGCTCAGTAATTCCAGGAAAAAGAGAAGTTAAAAAGTGAAGTTGGGCTTTATTTGTTTGTTTGTTTCTGTTTTATTTCTGTTTCTAACTTGGAAGGGCATGTAATGGAGAAAGAGAGAATAGTTGTGAAAAGAAGAATGAGAAAAATAGAAAAAGGTAATATGGGTTAAAGAAAAGGATGAGGGAAGGAGAGATGAAAGATGAAAGATTTCAGGTCCCTAGAGAGTAGAAAACCTTGTAACAAGGGCAGGGGACAGCTGGCTGACCCTCACACTCCTCGCAGACCATCCTGAACTCCATGCACAAGTACCAGCCACGCTTTCACATCGTTCGAGCCAACGACATCCTGAAGCTCCCGTACAGCACCTTCCGCACCTATGTCTTCCCAGAGACTGACTTCATTGCTGTCACTGCCTACCAGAACGACAAGGTGAGCAAGGCAGAAGTGGACTCTGAGTCTTTACCCACATCCCCCTACATGTACAGGGCTCTGCTCAAACCCACCTTCTTGCAGCTTGTGCAGGGCTCAGAAAGCTCACCACCTACTTGTATCTACAAGTACAGAACCCGCAGAAATCCCTCAAGCTCTCTCTTGAACCCAGGACAAACACACAGCCTACCCTCAAACAGCTGGGTGATCCTTGGGGTAGAGATGTTTACTTAGCAATTAGTACGAACTCAGGCTCCTGATGACATTTTTACATTTTATTCGTTCATTTCTTGGCTCAGGAATGGGAATCTAAATGAAAAGAGGGTGCCCGCGGCAATCTGCCCAAGCTCTAGAGATGTAGGAACCCAGGGTCCAATTTTTACTCTTCAAAAGAGCCAAAGACTAAGGCAGGTGGCACAGTCTGGAGATCACCTATAGCTACTTGTCGGGTCTGCCCAGGCTCCAGATCTCTTGGGGGGAGGCTGAGAGAATTCCCCTTCAGGTTAAAGGTTTTTTTTTTTTTTTCTACTTGCTACAATGCTTTTCTGCTCCAACTAGGTTGGTGCCCTTGAAAGTATCCCTGTGGATTAAATGATGGTGTCCCAATGCCCATGGTTGTGTCTTTGTAAACCAGGGGACTATGCACAGCACATGAGCTCCCTTGGATATAGGTGAATTCGTTTGACTCTTGTTCCACCCCAACCCCCTTTTCTTCTCTCTTTTTTTTTTTTTCCTTTTTCTTTTGTAAACTTGGCATTCTGGGACTGGGAGTCCTTTCTTTCTTTTCTTTCTTTCTTTCTTTCTTCTTTTTTTCTTTTTTGTCTTTGGACGTGTGAACTTGGGTGTGCGGGACTGTGTGTGTGTCTGTGCGGAGTAGTTTAACCTGTGAGACTACCGGAGCCAACTTGCTTAGGCCTATTTGGCTTTGCAGCACAGCTTTGGGCTTGTGTGTGCGTGTTGAGGGATTATTTCTTGAATAAGGCTTTTGGAGATGCATAGACCCAGTCGCTTTCTTCAATGTCCACCTGCGGTCCTCACCTCCAGTCACCCAACCCAGGAGGGTAGGCACAAGTCCCCAGGTTCTCTACTCTGAGGTCGCCCCTAGCCAGACTGGAAGAGCCAGGTCCTGACCTAGAGCCATCTCCTGCTTCCCGCAGATTACACAGCTGAAGATAGACAACAACCCGTTTGCCAAGGGCTTCCGGGACACCGGGAACGGTCGTCGGGAGAAAAGGTAAGGGATGAGCTAGTGGCCTTCGCCGGGTACCCAGGCCTGCAGGATGCAGGAGGGCTGCAATGGCGGCCTATCGCTCCCTCTGCTCACCCCCAGGAAGCAGCTGTCGCTTCCGACTCTGCGCTTGTATGAGGAGCACTGCAAGCCCGAGCGCGACGGTGCTGAGTCGGATGCCTCATCCTGTGACCCTCCGCCTGCGCGGGAACCACCGTCCTCCCCTAGCGCAGCGCCCAGTCCCCTGCGCTTGAACCGGACTCGAGGTGAGCCTGCAGTGTTAGGTTTGGGAAGGGGAATCAGAGAAGTGACCCCTTCTGGTGCCCAGTTGGGTTTTTTTGTTTTGTTTTGGTTTGTTTTTTGGTGAGTGGTCGGCTAATCTTAAAGGCCTGGAGAGAGGATTCAGGGATGTCACTGCGATAGGGCTTCCAACCTGGGACTCCCGTTTGAGGACAGTCTCTGGCTGCCAGGACATCCGGCAGGATTTGGAGCTGAACTTGTGGGCTGTGTGCCTGGAAATAAGGCTTCTCCTGCAGTACTTGGTTTTTTTTTTTTTTTTTTTTTTTTTTTTTTTTTTTTTTTTTTTTAAATTGTAAGAATGGGGTCTTGGATTTCTGTGACCTGCAGCTACCCCTAGAGGTTCTTCCAACTTGACCCTCCTAAGAGCAGATCTTTCTAAGTGTCGGTGTCTGGGCCCAGACCCCGGGGGAGAGGGCGCGGCGATCCTTTGTCTCCGCGGGAGCCCCTGTAACCCCCGCGTGTCCCCGCAGCGGAGGAGAAGCCTTGCACCATCGACAGCGACCCTGAGCCAGAGCGGCTAAACGACGAGCGCGCCGCCGCACCGATGGGCAGAAGCCCGGCTCGGGACAGCAGCCCGGCTCGCCTGACCGAACCTGAGCGCGCCCGGGAGCGGCGCAGTCCGGAGAGGGGCAAGGAACCGATAGAGAGCGGCGCAGAAGGCCCGTTTGGCCTGCGGAGCCTGGAGAAGGAGCGCTCCGAGACCCGGAGGAAGGAGGACGGGCGCAAGGAGGCGGGCGAGGGCAAGGAGCCCAGCCTGGCGTCGCTGGTGGTGCAGTCGGACAGCGCGTCCCCCCTGGGCGCCGGACACCTGCCGGGCCTGGCCTTCTCCAGCCATCTGCACGGGCAGCAGTTCTTTGGGCCACTGGGAGCCGGCCAGCCGCTCTTCCTGCACCCAGGACAGTTCGCCATGGGCCCTGGAGCCTTCTCCGCCATGGGCATGGGTCACCTGCTGGCCTCGGTGGCAGGCGGCGGCGGCAACAGCGGAGGCGCCGGTCCGGGAACCGCCGCAGGCCTGGACGCAGGCGGGCTGGGTCCCGCGGCCAGTGGAGCTAGCACCGCGGCGCCCTTCCCGTTCCACCTCTCCCAGCACATGCTGGCATCTCAGGTAAGGTCGGTGATCTGCCGGCAGCCAAAGGAAGGAGGCACAGCATGCTTGCTGGAGGCGGAGGGCTCGAGAGATGTCATAGGCGCTGGATCCTCCACAGGACCAGAACTGCGTTTTGGGGAGAGCCACCTAGGTCCTGGGAGAATAAAACTGAAGGTCTATGATCTGAGCAGGGTAGTGCTTCTGTGTGACCTTAGTCAAGTCTCTGACCCTCTCTCACAACCCTAGTGACAACTGAGAGAAAGCACCCGTCAAAACAATTCTGACTGTGGGACCAGCGAGGGTTGCTGCTGGGTTTTATTTAGTACACTTTTCTAGTTCCAGGAAACTTTTCTTGAGAAAGAAGACCTTTGCTTCACCATCAGTCCTGAAAGATTAGAGTGGCTAGACGAAGGAGAACATTTTGTGTTATTTTCTGGACTATTGGCCACCAAAATGACTCACCTTCCAGATATGCCTGGCCCTGCTGGGGTCCTCTAGGAAGTCCCAGGCCCTGACAAGTGATAGAAATGGTCTTTGCCCTACCCTGACTCACTTAAGTCTCTCAACCACATCCCAGGAAAGGGGGTTTCAATCACAACTCCCCCTCAGGCCCCTGCTGAAAATTTGAATTCCCAGAGGAGAGTTTAGGAAAATGTGGCCAGCGGCACAGTAAGGAGATCAGATGCTCAGAGCGGCCTCTTTGGTAACTTGGGTGGAATATTCCCAGCGGAAAGATTTGGAATGTCTTCACTCAGCTTCTTCCCTCTGAGGTTTCTGGCAAATTGAACTCTTGAGATCTTATCTCCAGGAAAGGAAAATAGGAGTTCAGGTCTGAGAAAGATGCAAATAGTCAGGGGGGTTCTGAAATGAGTTTTGACCTGAACTCAACATCAGTGTGGAGAGTTTGAGGTACCAGCATCACAGGGGTTCTATACTGGAGTGTTAATCCGTACCCTTGACTGTCTATGCATGTGAATACCTCCTCCCCAGACAAACTCTGGTGATGATCATGGGTATTAAAGAGCTTACCGGGAAAGCCAAGGCTTCTAGATACAGCCTGGTCAGCAGGTGTAAGGCCAGGGTGAGACTACCCAGAACTCAGAATAAATCAGTTGGTATAGCTGCTGATGGGTAAATTCCCAAGCCTTTGCCGCAGGTCCTAGCTGTGGGTCCAGTAAAGCCAAATTATAGGAACTGTGAAGCTTCCTCCCCTCCTCCCAACCTGAGATGCCAGATCCTAGTGTTCAGTAGGGCTTGCCCCCAGACCCTGCCTGGCTAAACTACTTTCTTGGTTTCTCCCTGCTTGACTCAGGACCTGGCTCTCTGGGAGTCTAGCACTGTTAGTCCGCTGGCCACCTCTCCAAGGCACATACTCTGAGGAGTGAGCCATTATCTCAAAGGTCAGACAATCTCACATCGGGGCCTCATGAGCTCTGCACCCTGTGTCCAGGGTTTCCTGGCTGCTCTGCTATCCACAGGCAAAGATTTTGCATTCCTTCCTCAGCTGCCACAGAGGAGCTGCCAGTTCTTTGTCAAACATCCAGGTCAGTTTATGAACTGGTTGGCACTTGTGCCCTGATCCTGGCAGAGGCAGGAGACCCCTGGCAGGTGAGCAGACAGAACTTTACCACCTTGCTCCCCAAGCCTGTGTTCCTGCAACAACCTGGAGCCTGCAGACAGAAGGCATGGAGGGAAACAATGTTCTAAATATGCAGAACCTCACAGGACAGCCCCAGCTGCCTCCTGGCCACCTGGCCCCATGCCTGCCCTCCCTCCTTCCTCTAGCCCTTTGCCAGTGTTAGCTCAGCCACCCGGAGCTCTTCCTCTTACCTCTAACCAGCCCAGCACATGATGACTGCAGGCCTTTGCATCACACCCGGCATGATCGACATGCTAACTGGATTTGGTCATGGCGTGCTGGCTCATGTCCACATGTGATGCTAGTAGTTATAGTTACCTGACTTCTGTCTTTATAGCCTAAAAGAATAGGGCAAGGATGATCAATTTGTAGCATTCACCTCAGAGACCCCTCAGGTAAGATGTCTAACCTGTGTCTTCTGTTTCTTCCAGGGAATCCCAATGCCCACTTTCGGAGGCCTCTTCCCCTACCCCTACACCTACATGGCAGCCGCTGCCGCCGCCGCCTCCGCTCTGCCCGCCACCAGTGCTGCAGCCGCTGCTGCCGCTGCCGCTGGCTCCCTATCCCGGAGCCCATTCCTGGGCAGTGCCCGGCCCCGCCTGCGCTTCAGCCCCTACCAGATCCCAGTCACCATCCCACCTAGCACTAGCCTCCTTACCACCGGGCTGGCAGCGGAGGGCTCTAAGGCTGCAGGCGGAAATAGCCGAGAGCCCAGTCCACTGCCCGAGCTGGCTCTCCGAAAAGTGGGGGGTCCATCCCGCGGGGCCCTGTCACCCAGCGGCTCAGCCAAAGAGGCAGCCAGTGAACTGCAGAGCATCCAGAGACTGGTGAGTGGGCTGGAGAGCCAGCGAGCCCTCTCCCCCGGCCAGGAGTCGCCCAAGTGAGGGGGCTGTCTGGCTGCTGCGCTACCACGCAGGACCCCCCCCCCCGGCTGCCTGCCTCTGCTGCTTGGGACGTGTACAGCACAGAATGGGTATTTATTTAAATAAAGAAGCAAAAGCGTGCTTCAGCAGTCAGAATAGAGCCTCGTGTGGCAGGCCGGTGTCTGGGACGCTTCCCTGGGTCTCAACAGGGAATCAGTCTACGGGAACACAGTCGCTCTGGGGCCACTGGATTCGATCCAGATCTGCTCCATAGCCAACTTTGGGGCACCTCTTTCTTCCACCGCTGTGGGGGAGGCTTCCACCCGGGCCCAGCGGTCCGTTTGGAAACCAGAAGGTACATAGGCTAGGGGTGGTTGCTTCGGAGAACATTCTACGACCCCAGGCCTCGGGTCTGGACGGCGTGAGAAACTGAGGTGGAGGATGCTGGAGCCAGTGAAGACTCAAGTCAGTGTAGACTGGAGCTAGGAGGGGTCCTGTCCTTTTAGTCCTCCCTCCTCCAGCCCCCAAGAGACAGGCATTCCCTCCTACTCCTGGGTCAGCGGAGGAGGAAGTGGCATTTCTGCCTTGAGTCCCCAGGGGGTAAAGATATTTATGAAATAAATGGTAATTTGTGTAAATAAGCTTTAAGTTTCCCAGAATATGCAAATTCGTATTAATTTATTCAAAGGTGTACATTGCTGTGTACCTATATTTAGAGATTAACTCATAGCACTTAATTTTTTTTTCATTTTACATGAGCATCTATATTGTACAGGGCCCGGGGTCCCTGGATGCAGAGAAGGCACCGAACCCGGGGAAGGCCCCACCCTACGGGCCCCTCAGCCCCTGCGCCCCGGCTTTGCCCGCCTGGCCCGCGGGCCCCACCTCAGGTTTCCACTTTTTGCTCCAGAGAGAGAACGAAAAGACAAAAACTCGAGAAAACAATAAAACGCTACAATGCGAAGTAAATGGCGCTGTGCGCTCTGTGGGCCGCGCGGGGCTGGGGCGCAGGAGGGTCTAAGGCGGGGACCAAGGCTGGCCGCCCCTATCTGGCCCTCAACTGTACCTCCCAGGCTGCGGCTGCTCGGCTGGGCCGCGTGCACACCGACCCGGGCCCCAGGCGCCGGCGCAGGGCGCAGGGCGCGGGCTGGGCCAGGAGGCGCCGCGCGGCGGGGAGAGTCCCCCATCTCCGGCCGCGACTCGGGCCGGGGCGGGGCTCCCTCTGCTGGCCACTGGCTGCCGGCCGTTACTGCCTCCGATGCCTGGTACCTACCTGGTGGCTGGAGCCAGACAAAGCTCAGCTGAGTGGCCTGGACTCTGGACTCCCTTTCTAGAGCACTAGAGAACCAACGCACCCCCTTTCAACGTTTCTGGGTACATGGGCTGGGGAAATGAGTGCTCCTGGGTTTGCTCTCTCCCTTCGAGGAGGGAGTCATATATGTAGCGGCAGTACCGCGAACTCCAGAATTCTTTCCCACCTCTGCCTTCTGGAATGTTTGGGCTGTTGAATAGAGTGGCAAAGTCTGGCCTAAAAGTGCCTCCCTGGAACGTCTCTAAATCTCTCCTGGGGTGCGAGGAGTATGGGTCAATAAACTATTCCCTTTCCTGCCTCAGCTGGCTAGGGATTCTGAGGTCCTACTGTGTCATGCATTGGGCTGGCCCTTCCCCAGGACCCAGGCTGTCAAGAACAACTGGCTCCTGGCCCCTCCCCATCTGTTCCGCAGGGTGGCAATCTTTCCTTCTCATCTTCACCCAGCTCGAAGGTGTCTTCAACCTTAATTCTTAGCAGTGGCACTGGCCGACAAGCAGTCACTCCTTCAACCTGCCCCCCACCTCCTTCCCAGTTCCCAATCTCCTTTAAGTTTGGGGAAATTTTGGCACCCAACCCAAGGAGGTTACAACTTAGGGCCCAGTGCATCCACGACGGTTGTGTAGCTTCCAACTCACTGAAGGACATCCGGGATGATTATTTGAAAGGGGGGGGCGAAGGTGCAGGTCGAATGGACGGTTTCAGGGACTCCAAATGCCCAGGACATCTTCGTGGGCTAACACACTTCCAAAAAAAAAAAAAAAAAAAAAAAAAAAAAAAAAAAAAAAAAAAAAAAAAAGAAAGAAAAAAAAAAAGAATCAAGTTCATCTCTTTTAGAGAAGGAGTTGCCCCAGGCTATGCTGAATTCCAAGGACTGATGGGAAAAGAGCCCGGAGAAAAAAAGGCAGAGAAGATCTCATCCCAACCCCCAGAGGGTGGTTTCTTGCTTTTATGTCTCTGATCTGAAGGAGTGAACTGGCAAGTGTGGTCCATGACCCAGGCAGGAGCAGGAAAGCCCCTTTCCCAGCTCAAATAGAATCTCTCCTTGTCGCTGCGTTTATTTGAGGTCACTTTGGGTTGAAACGTCTGTAAAATTCGTAGAGCAAGGCTCTCATTGGGTTCTTGAAGCCTCTCTCGCTTTCATCCCGACAAGGAAGGTACACTAGCAGCTGGTTGCGGAGTCCCGTAGGCCTGTGGACAGGGCTGCTGACACCAGGGGGCAGTACCCACCTGAGGCGGTGGGCAGGGCCGCGAACAGCGCTTTTAACCCGAGGGGGCTGTTGGGGAAGGCTGAGCAGGGCAGCCTCGTTGCAGCTGCACTCTGGTGGTTGGTTGCTGTAGCAACACGGGTGGGATGCTATTTCAGGGCCTAGAGCGCAGTTTGGAGAGCCCTACTCGCCCCCTGGCCTTGGCCGCGCTCCTCAGCTCCCGGAGTTGCCCACCCAGTCCTCTGCTGGGCCCCAGCTGCAAGGCCAAGTGCGGCTTCGGGATCCTGTGGCCAGCGGGCTGGGCCCTGTCCCAGACAAAGGCCAGGCCACTCCCAGGCCCAATTAAGCCGTCCGCCTTCTCAGCCTTCCAGGCTTCATTGTCTCTGGGGTCGCCAATTAGCTCGGGCGCCCGGGTACCCGCTGCTCCGGTGCCCCAAAGCCTTCTTAATTCTCTGGGGCCTGCCACCAGGGGCCTGGGACCCCATATCCACTATCAGAAGGGCCTGTGTGGAGGGCGTGTATACTTGATGCTTGCTGATGACCTAGCAGGTCGTCTTGGTCTCGGTGTGGAGTGTGGGGCCTGACCCAGGGCTGTGCGTGCTGATTTAGGACACTCAAGAGTGTGGGGGCTCGTGAGACCTCTAGCGGCCCAACTGCATGGATTCTGAGACCTGGGACACCTCATTTCCGTCGCGGTTAATTGGAGACTTCCGAACCCTCCAGCCATTCCTTCCCTCCCCTCCCCGGCTGCGGTGGGCGGCATCGGAGCCTTGGCGGCCGGCCCTGCCCTCCGGAGGGCACACCAAGGGGCTCGACTTCGCAGCGCGCCGCGAGCCCACCCGCTGGGCACTCCTCCGGAGGGAGGAGCGCGCTCTTGCCATCCCGATGACACCCGCCCTGGACCGCCGCGGCTTCAGGCCCCGCCCCCGGCTTCTCCTGGAAAGGGCGGCTCTACCCGGGACCGTTTTCTGGGACAGCGTGGTTTCAACTCTGAGCACTTCTCTTTCCAGTTTTGAAGGATCCCAATCTAATCCCGCCCCCGCCTCTCTGCCCTGGACCCTGAAGTTCGGAGTCCCCTACCGTCCCCCTAGGCAGGGTCCGGCTTTAGGTGCTTTAAGGACTGGGCAGAAGCCGGGAGGACCAGCCGGAGCGCTTGGAGGACCTGAGCAAAGAGGGAGCCGGGCGCTCCGGATGCTCCCTGGGCACTCGGCGCGCAGCGCCCCCGGGAGAGCAGGCTGATCTCCGAGCACCGGTGGTGTTGGGGCCTCGAGGACTGTTTTCCTCGGAGTTCCTTCTTGGTTCTTTGGAGGCGCAGGCTGTGGGCCGCACCCGGTGGATGGGGCTGAAAACCCTGAACCCCACTCCCTTTTGAGGCTGAGGCTCCGCACTCCGCACAGCTCCAGGTCGAGTGCTGCCCAGTCAGCCCAGTCTCCAGCCGCCGGAACTCCCCATGTGCCCACGAGGTGGCGCTCCAGGCCAGGGGCCGGGCCACCGCCGACCAGCCCTCCCGGGCCAGGGCCCGAGGTGCACCCAGCAGCCCGGAGAGATGAGCACCCAGACTGGGTCGCCGATTGACTGTAGGTCCAGGTGCAGAGACTTGCAGGGACTCCCACATGGACAGCAGGGCCGGAGGCTTGACATGGGGTCTTTGGGGTCCTAGCAACCAACACTGCAAGACCGAGCTATAAACAACACCCAGTCTGGTCCGCGTGCCTGGCTGGGCTGGGAGGCGGGGGTGTTCCTCGAGATCCCTAGGGACAGGCAAGGAATTTGCCTCTTGCCTTTCTGGTCTCTCGAAGCAGGGGCCCTGGGGTGGGAACCGTGGGCTCTGGAAAACACCGCTTTGGCCCTGCTGGAGTGCGAGGGCCACTGGACTGTGCGGACTTGGGCGGAAGGACTGATCGAAGTTCTCAGCTCCCACGTCTCGGCTCCTACCTCCACCTCCTCAGCCTCATCCAGCTCTTTAGGGTCGAACGTAGGGTAGGCACCGGTGGAGCAGTGTACTTGAGGACCACGGTCCTGCCTTCCATAAGTGCCAAAGGTCCAGGGGAGGCTTGGGGTCTGCCGTGATCCAGCTGCAAATGGTGCTAGATGGTGCATAGGTGTCAGCCTGAGAGTCTCTCCCCTGGATTTAGACATCACCGAGGTTCCCCCTTAGGTTTGAACTGGAGGATAGACAGAGCTGAGGGTGACCCCATGGCTGGGGAATGCAGATTTGGAGTGGGGATTTAAGCCATCAGTGATTCTAGGGACCAGGCAGATTAACCCCAAACACACTTCCTAGCAAGCAAGCAGCCCAGTTTCCATCTGGGTCACTTCCACTTCCACAGCTCTGTTGCAGGACTCCAGTCAGGTATCTCTGCTACCCAGGGCTCTCTCAGCATCTTTCACTTTCCAAAGTATACCAGAGAAAAGAATCAAACCTTTGGTAATTTAATAGTCATTTACACGACTGCTGAGCAGCAGAGGAAAACCAAACCAGAGATAAAGTCAAGGTCAAACTTTGCCTCCGTCTGTGAGACTCTGGACAGTATGACTCTCTTTTCTGGGCTCCAGGGCCCTCATCTGCAAAATAAATGGTATGGACTAAAATCAAAGTTATCTGTGAGTGACAAGTTGAACTGTTCCTCTCCCCAGCCTCAACTGCTTCTGAAAAGTACCTAATCCTTGAGGAACTTGAGCCTGAGGGATAGGCATGGGTATTCACAGAACTTGAGTTCGTTGGCTATTGCTAAGATTCTTGGGGTGGGGGTAGGACTGGTGGCCTGGATGAATTCCCAATTAGGAAATTGCATTCCAGGTTCTGAAATTCTCAGGGAACCAGCTGGCTCCAGCTGCCTCCAGTCCCTGTGGGATATAGCTATCAGTCACTGTTCTGCCTTCCCACCAAGCTGAGTTTGGAGAAGGCACACCCTGGGGTTGTGAGGAGGTGACTCTAGCCTCCAGCACCGTTTTCTGACAGATTGCACATGACTTCCAGCATAGTCCAAGTTAAAGGGTATCCCCTAGATCTGGGGTATTCATGTGAGCTCATTTCTTACCTGAATAAAGGGTCTGGTGGCATTCAAACACTTTCACATGCAGGCTCACTGAAGGTCAATTCAGGGGCAGCATAGAGATTACGAACCTCCATTCCACAGAGGATGGCATTGGGGTTCAGAGAAATGGAGGTACCTCAGGCTATGAAGTAAATAAAGGACAGGACTCTTTCACAATCCTATGGGTCAGGCCCTTGGCAACATTAGCTGATGAGGTGATGATGAGTACGAATCAGCCTCACTGCTGGGAAAGGGCAAAGGGCAAAAAGAGTGGGTGTGTGCCCTCTGCAGCCAGATGCTGAGCTTTGATGTACTGGCTAGAAGCTGTGTCCATGGGAGAACAGCCTGACTCAGAGCCCAGCCCCAGGAGAACAGGGCGGCTGCCAGGCTTCTCATTAGCCTAGCTGGA